TCAGACTCTCAGTCCTCCAGCAGACAAGCAGTGCCACAACCTCTCTAACAGCACTGTCACAGGAGAAAGACTCCACTTTTCTACACAGAATAAGTTTTAGAATAGAAACAAGACAACGAAGTGCTGGTCTGTGGCTGTAACAGTCGAAAGAGAAGACTAAATTTGACTTTAATAATCCCCACAGAGACATACATCCTCTGCATCTGGCCCAGTGGCCAGTGCTAAAGCAGTATTGAGAAACTACCTCACTCCAGCTTTATGGGCCAGTAACTTGGTCAGAGGAGACAGCAGGAGTATGCCTAATATGCATACCCAATATGCCATGGAAATACAGTGCCCATTATAAATAAAGAGCCTGAGGTAATTCTTTGAATTTTTGTCTGGCCAACAGACCAAGGATATTCAGTTTACAGTGATATGACAAACAGAGAGCAACACATCCTCACGTTTGATAGGCACCCATTTCTCCAAAGTGCAGAGCTGGAGTTTGTCTCTCATATTGCTACAAACCAAATCCCCTCTGGCTTTACAGCAGTTTTAAGACCAATTAAGCAACAGTAAGTTGACTCTGGGAACTTGTCACAGGTCTTTATTTTATAACAATTTAGTTATTCACCAATAGCAAAAATGATCACTTATAAGCATCAGTGCAACCCACTTGAACCCTAGACTTTCATGCTAACAATCCCATGTTACCCAGGAAGCAGCTGTGTGACAGAGAGTGAAGTGGAGCGCCGATAGTGACAAACCACAACAGATATGAGAGTGCAACGGACTTCTGGTTTTTAACCACGACCAGGACAAGTTAGTTCATAAAGAAAGAACTCAACCCTGCCACATGTAGCAGCCATTTAGCCTCCACTTCATCTGTCCAGATGCGCTCAGAAACCGACTGTGCTAATGTGTCAACAGTTCCAGCTTCACTTTACTGGGCCGAGACCGATTTCTGTGGACAAAAAAAATAAAAACATTCAGCCATGGCCTGGCCATAGGGCAAGCCCCAGTGGACACATTTTAGCTGCACAAACATGCTAGTTCACAGCAGAGTATCAGAGCTGAGCTAGCAGGTAGCAGAGATGAGGATGTTGAGGTGCTGAGCTAGCAGGTAGCAGAAATGAGGATGTTGAGGTTCTGTTTAGGAGGGACCAGGATGGACAGGATTAGGAATGAGCACATCAGAGGGACAGCTCAGGTCGGCTGTTTTGGGACAAGGTCAGAGAGGCCAGATTGAGATGGTTTGGACATGTGCAGAGGAGGGATAGTGGTTATACTGGTAGAAGGATGTTGGAGATGGAGCTGCCAGGCAAGAGGTCAAGAGGAAGGCCATCGAGGAGATATATGGATGTGCTAAAAGAGGACATGAAGTTAGTTGGGGCGAGAGTAGAGGATGCTGAGAACAGAGTTACTGTAGGTGGAAACAGATGATTCGCTGTGGCGACCCCTAACGGGAAGAAACATGCTAGTTCATCATATAGACCGACAAAGCTCTTCTTGATAAACAACTAAAAGGAAGGACAGCAGAAGTATAATTTTACTGTTGGAGAGCAAATCTGAGTCTACCAAGGAAAACATATTTGGGGGGAAAAGGGGTTTATTTCTAATTAAATGCATGTTTATGTCATGTGGGGGGAAGCACAAAAGGGCACAGTCATATGTAAACTGGAAAACTGTGTAATCCTCATTTTCTCTCCAGTCATGAGAACAAGATGTGTAGCACTAAGTGACTGAATATTAAAGCTAACATCTTGATGCCTTTTCGACTCCATTTGCCATTACACTGTATAGTATGCAGTGTTCCCCGTTTAAAATAGGGTGAGCACCCACACAAAAAGCCATAGATGTGGACAGAAAGGGGGCGAGTGAGAGCGGATGTGTTATTAGTTTTATCAAATGGTCAACTTCCTCCCACCTCTCAGATGTTTCACCGAGCTCGACCAGGACGATGGCTCCGCTGTAAAAACCGTGAGTGCACGTAAATGTCCTACACTGTCCCGTTATTGGTGGGTGACAGCTATCGGAACACTCAAGTGGGTCCGACACTTTGGTTTATAACTATTCTGACACCTGTATAGCAAAGAGTCAGGAAGCCAGACAGTCTTACCTCCAGGCCTGACACAACAACAGTCTGAGCGCCTGTCAGCTCAGACCTCCAGCAGCTTCCACCTCGGTTGTTGCTTAGCAGAGGGGACACTGTCAACACTCCTCATGTATCCTCACAGATACTACCACCCAGTTCACCATGTGTCCCAGCATAGCATAAACAGAAATAAATACCTGGCTTGGTTGTAAGAAAGCACTGAAAGTGAGCGGGATAAGTACCAAATTGATTAGCTCAACTATGGATGGATAGGAACATACTTCTGATAATTACTTGAGTATTTTAGGCATCAGAATGCCAAACAGCTTTTTTTTTAAGTGCATTCTTGTCATCTGGGAACACTGCATTCTGGGAATTCTTCACTTTTGTTAATAACATCTTATCAACAGGACATTTAATTTAAAAAAATGACAGCATATAGACAAAGAAAACTGTTGTTAGGAGAAACTCTGCCATAGAAAAACGGTTCCTAGCTGACAGGTGAGCCTAGCTGAGAAGCACCTTAACATTCAGCGATGTGAATAAAACCTGGTGCTACTTAGTTTGGCCAGAACACTGTGAACATTTACTCAGAACACCCGAGTAAATGAATGACAAGACGGAGACACTAGTGAGGATTAAAGGCTACCGAGGCCTCATAATGGCCAGGTGTAAGCCACACAGCCTCCACCTTAGCATTATCATCCCAATCACATACACTACTCAGTATCTTTACAAACGCGTATTTGATCCAGGACAACTGTGCCTTTGTGGCAATGTTATCGTCAGCATTAGTAGTAGGCCTACTAGTAATAGCAGGACACCTGCATCTTTAAAGACAGGTGTGCAGGGCTCCCCATCTCTTCACTAGCAATGTGGGCTCCGCATTAGCACAGATTTGACACAGAGTAGAGCAAACTCAGGCAGCATTCACACCATGTCTCAGTAATAAAAAGCAGCTTTATTCTGCCCGTGTGTTCAGTGTACCTGAATCGCCCTCCGCAGTGCTGGCACTGGTCCCCAACCCAGCCAGGGAAGCACACACAGTTCCCAGTAGCGCTGTTGCATTGCCCGTTCATACACGGTTTGTCGCATTCCTTCGCCTCGGTGAAGCCGGGCAGCCCAGACAGCAACACAATAACCGAGAGTAAGAGCGCGGTTGTCAGCATCAGCAGGCTCCGGCCCTGGCCAGAGCCCGAGCAGGCCCACCGCGTCGCCCCGTACATTCTCTCACAAAAGATGGCTCCTTGAAACAGCCGTTCTGCTGTTTCGGAAATAGTGACACAACGAAGCTGCCCGCTGAAGTGGTTCCGTTTATCGGACCAAGGGTACTGTTTCCCTGTAGGAGGCGTTTAGTGTCTTCTTCGAGGCTGGTCTTCACTGGTTGGTACCTTTACATCTTTCCAGCGGTCCTGTTTCCCAGCGAAGCACCAAGCTGCATATTGACATCCAGAAGTGACGTTGTGTCAACGGAAATGCGCACCCGAGGGCAGGCGAAGAGCGCAGTAGTTAAAACTTTTATTTTGAAAATAAAGAGCGGAAATTCCGCCCATTTAATAGCTAGCTGTTAGCTCATTTGTTAGCTTCTTTGCTATAATACTTTCTTATAAATGTTTTGCTATGGTTTATTCTGTAAAGAAGATACATGACACTGGGATTATATAGCAATTTAAGATAACAGTATATGTACAATGTGGCTATTTTAAACCCTTGCTATATTAAAAAAAGATAGTATCAAAATACATCTCCCATAATGCTTTGACGGGGAACATGTTTGTGTAACTCATTTGAGCAGTAGCCGTTGAATAATAACAAAATAAGTGTTAAGAGTGAAAATTCATTGCTGACCTTAGAAAATGTTGATTAAATAATCATAACTAAAATGGACTTACCAACTTTTCCTGGAGCTTCTGCATCTTCTCGTGGTCTTCATCAGTGACAGGCACAATGCTTTCATTAATAATTTGTCAATTTCATAACAACTGAATAAACTATATCTGGATTATAAAAAGAAACATGGAAAATTGTGCATTTTGAGTTATGATAAGATTAAGAATTTGTCAACAAAAACGGCTCATCTAGAAACAGGAATATTGTGTAAATTTTCTACTTTGGAATATCAAGTAAATGTGGTCTCTTTTAATAATATAGCTTCTGCATACCTATGGAACACACACAGGGGATTTCATTTATTTTTTCCCTAATAAGACTTTTTCTCAGAGCTCTGTAGATGTGCACACAGACTGCATGGCTGACATGGAGAGCAGTTACCTCACATAATTCACAGCATACGTATGTCTTCCACTTTCAACACAAGCAGAAATCTAACCAGCCATAATAACTACCATCACGTGGGTGGATGGCCTTTAATTAATGTCATGCATTTACATAGATAACATTTATGCTTTCCTCCACTGAATTATACAAGGCTGCTCTGCCGTGGGGAAAAAAAATTCTGTATGTCTACGTTAAAGTGAAATACTGTACATGTGTATTGTTCAAAATAATACAGCATGGTATTGTTGCACTCATTTATAACATTACAAAATATTCCCATACTATCCCTATAAAGTCTTCTGGTCCATCTCTAGTCTAATGTTAAATCTTTTCCATATTACTGTTGTACTTCATTTTCATTTTGTCACCTTTAATTTCTTTCTCAATTCAGTATCAGGGTCACACATTTATAAAAATACATGATTCACTCAGGCTGTGTGTATACTGGTATCTCATACACATACAGTAATTGTAATTAGCACAAAATCAAGATTAATTATTTTTTTAAAAATTGTTTAACTGAAGCATTAGTTAGTTTGTTTGTTGTTTTAACTCTTTGGTGGCTGTTTGCCTAACAATTTCCAAAAGACCCAGCAGCCCAAAACCAACCCAGAAACTACACAGCAAGGACACAAAACTGTACAAATGGTATAGAACAGTTTATTAAATTTAGACTTGTAAGAAGTCATCATATTCCAATGCGCTCATGGCATGAAGCACATTTATAATAACACCAACCCAAAAAGGATTGATCACGGCCTCAAAACATAAATAAAGCAAATAAACATATTTACAATTCAACATGGACAGAATGGGGTTTGTGCACAAGAACACGCAACTACATGTCCAGATACAGGGATCAGAGACTGAGATGAGTGATGTGATTTTTCAGTTTAACTACAGCATTAGTGGAAGGCGAATAAACAATCCAACAAAGCATGAAAAACCTAATGTATAATCACATTTTCTTGGTTTGGGTGAAAAAAGAAAAACGTGTAGAACCTGTGATAATACACTATTGTCAATAATGCTGTTTTCAGTTTAATGGTCTTGGATGACAAACTGTTTTCTACTTCATGTTGTGGCAGTTTCCTTCTTGCTTATTGTAAACTGTTCACATACAAGTCTTCATTTCACAATTCATCCATGAACTGATTTCAATCAAATTAAGGACAAATCATTTAAGATAATTTTGTGGGAAAGATGGATCTTCCTTGGATTAATTATTAAATTCTACAAAAGTTCTGTCCAGTCTGTTTTTGTCAGTGAAGACCATAAGTAACAATACCTCCATGCTGTTATTTTTTGTCATAATGGAACCAACCTCTCCACAAGCCTCCTTTATCACAGTGGGAGTACAGTCCATTTTAAACTCTGAAGAGAGAAATGATCATTTAACAAGAACGACTCCTTCTGTGGGATGAGTGGATGGTTGAATGATCAGTTTGACTTCCTGCATCAGACACATGGTCGAGATTATACATTAATTAAAAACCCTGCAGAATAATTTAAAAACTGCCCTTATTAAAACAAAGAGAGAGAGAGAGAGAGAACATTCTTAGAAAAGTACAATCATTGAAAGCACATTACAGATAGCAGTTTGAGTGTGTGTAATTACAGACAGGCCGTGTGACTCTCCCAGCACTTCGTATGTACATAAAACAAGGCTTATTGTGGATCACATTACCAGTATCACAGTGGTCACCAACTAAAATTCCAGGAGGTCCAGTCACTCATTACTAATTAGAGGATCTGACAAGCATCCCATATATATGTCACATGAAGTGAATATATTAGAATCACCAATCGACCGAAGCTGCATCTCTGGAGCACCCGGAGAGAACCCACGCAAGCACGGGGAGAACATGCAAACTTCCCACAGAAAGGCCGCAAACTTGGAACCTTTTCACTTTGAGGCAACAGCGCTAACCACCGCGCCGCCGTGCTGCCCCTGTATACATGTATTCATGTATATACTTCTACAGTTGATGGGGCAGACTCAGAGCAAGATGCTAACCTGGCTAAGTCTGCAGAAAATAAATATAATAAAGTCTTTGTTAACACTAACATTTCTGAGTTGGTTGGTTTCTCCCAGTCGCTGCAGACCCGCTCGTACTGACTGCTCACACCCAAGCAGCAACTGAAGGACATGCACAGCTCTGCTGAGCTGGCCCACTCTGTGGCTGTTAAAAAAAAAATTCTCATCAAAATAAGACTTATTATTATTTTACTGTGAAACACTTCAGTCCAGACAGAAACCTCTCTGGGTCCAGATCTGGACTGGAGTCCACCAGTTGGTGACCACTGCAGTATCAGGTCCAGGTCCTCAGTAGGCAACCTAGAGGGGATAAAACAGCATCGCCTTCTTCACTAAATGCTATGGTCCTGCACCTTGGGAGAGCTGCAGACCTCAGTATCGAGTGCTTCACTGGGAAAACCAGCTGGAGGGGTTGGAGCACAGTAGCACAATTGCAAAAAATGTGCAGTGAGTTATGAGCTAAAGAAACGTACACTCAACTGACTTTCAAATGGCACTCTGGTTCTCCTTGGGTGCTAAAGCAAGGCAAACCCCTCCACTCGGTACCCCACATATGTGAAAACAAACACTGAGAATCATTTCAAACAGCTATAAAGAGGTGACCACCGTCATCTGTCTCTGGAGGTCACACTGTAATATTCGATAACAGTTAATAGCAGAGATCGTCTCCTCCTTGTTCCCTCTCCCACAGTATATGACACTATCTTACAGTTGTCCAAGGAAAAATTCATTTACAAGCAATGGTGCATTACAATATATACAGGGTTAATCAAATTTATCTTGTGCATCAATAAAGAAAAAAAGATATAAACCGGTTTCTCCCTTAAATTATGTACAAAGAGCAAAGATGAGGTGTTGGTGAATGACTAAGCACCTCAGAGTCATTTTGTAAATTTACACACAGAAAAACTGCATCCAAGTACTGGCTTTAAGACAACTAATTCCCACTCACCCTTCACTTCTTTATCAGGTACATGCAACGACATGAGCCGGAGGCTCTGCATCCATCCAGAGGGGGCTGCTGGCCCCTTTCTAAAGGCAAATCATATCTGATGAAGTAGATTCATAAATTCTTCTCTACGCAATACAGCAACTTTTCCCATTAAAAAACACATAGGAAAAAAAGATGTTCTTTTTTTTTGGTCTCCCAAATCAGGCATATTGGGTGTTAGGACACCGGTTAGTGCTCGTACCAGTGATTAGTACTGGTCACTAGTAGATAGGATGATCAAGCATCAAAGGCCTCTTTGGAGTGTCCTCTTGGATTTGATACCTGAGGTGCATTGTGGGTGAGTGAACACTGGCTGAATGTTGGGAGCAAGCAGCGTGTTGTGGCCAGAGCAGGATCGAATCACACCTCAAATAGTTCTGAGCTGTCAACCGTCTCACAGTACCAGTCAGAGTCAGGACTCCAGCTGTTTAAGACAATCACAGATGAACATTTCAAAATCAATTAGGTACAACTGGCTGTGGATAATAGCTGAGTCTGCACTGAGCTGGCTGGCCGCAACAAATGCTGCCCATCTGGTGCTCAGAGCCACTTAAAATAACCACTAAGAATTATTTACAAGTGCCACTTGAGCCAAGTCTGGTCGTGAACATTACAGAACGGCTGTCACTTTTAAAATATCCTTTCACTGTGCGTGTGATTGTAATTGGGAACTTGGGCAGCATAATAGTGTGCGAATATGTAACGGAATGTCTATTTGGCATGGAGAGCAACTGTGCAGGAAGTGGTCCCACTGTTTTCACACCACAGAGACTAATTCCTGCACATTTGTCGTACCTGGCATGCCAAGTGATTCAGTGTGAGGCAGTGTGTGATGGCAGGGGCCGAAGTGTTTCTTTTGGGTGGCAGACCAGCATGGGGATGACAGGGAAACGGTAACATATTGTGTCATGGGATCTTCAGGAGGTGGACGTCTGGCGTGAGGGGCGGCCCATAGAGGAGGAGCTGTATGTGCGGGAGCGTTGCCTCACGGCCAGTCGACAAGGCAGCTCCAACTCCTGGAAGAGGGGAATCCCTGTGATCTCGACTGCCTCAGGACGCTCATTGGGGCTCAGTGACAGCATGCTGCGCACCATACTCAGCTATGCACAGAGAAAAAAAACACAGTAGTCTGTCATTCTACAGTAAAGCCACTAACATTATCAGATCTGCTTTACTTCAAACTCATGCAACACAGCAGGACCAGTGTTAGTCTAAACTCTAAAGGGAATTACATACCCAGCTCTTATAATAGAAGAATTTATTAGCACACACACAGATATGCTACACATAGGAGGCACAGAACAGCACACAGCTAAGGAAATAGGATACCGTACTTTCTGGACTATAAGCCGCTACTTTTGTCGCTTCATGCAGACACCCTCATCATGGACAACACATGACGAAATGCATATGATGCTGCTTCAAGTTACAGGCGACTGATCTGGCTGTCGAAATATCTCATGTTACAATGTGGACACCTGCAGCTATGTACAACATGTTTTGCATTTAGTGGGTGCAGCTTATAGTCCGGAAATCACGGTACTGAAATAACAAGGTGAGGGGATTTCCAGTGTTGGAGTATTCTTTAAATTCTATATTTTATTTAATTTGAACATATGGGTCATTTGATTCTAATGAGGATATGGATACAAACCATGTTGATACAACAGTCTCAGATATTATATTTAACCTTGTATTCTGTTGGTTTGAAAGCTACCTCCTTATTGGACTGACTCACCTAGTGGACTTTATTGATGACAGACTACAGTATGAGATCACTCTCTCACAAATCTGGATGTGTCCCAGTTCACTCATATCCTCTGGCTTGTTCTCAGTGCACACGTTTTCTTGTCTATGTTTAGGCACAGTTTGTGCCACTAGGTGGCAGCAGAGGGTCACTCACCTCCTGAACGTTGTTTTTGGAGAAAACCTCTGGGAAGCGCAGCCCTCTCACCTCTGTCAGTGTCTGGAAGAAAGGATGTAAACACCTGTGAGGGGAGCCGAGCTACTGGCTAATGAGGCCCTTTGTTACACAGACAAAGACGCCCTGGTCGATCACACAGGGGCAAAGAAAACCTATTATTTAATCTGACAATATTCAAGTGACAGCAGTGATTATGCATTACACTTTCCCCAATACAGTTTTCATTTCATTTCAAATTAGAATAATTAACCGAACAATGAAATGGGTAGAAAAATAAACTGCCTACAATAAAGAGCTTCTCTCTTCACCAGCTTAAACAAACAGCAGCACTGGAGACTCTTACTGAGGGCAACAGTGAGATCATAAAATATTAGTTTTAACTAACTGTACATTAGGGATGGCAGTCAGATTTGGAAATGATCTGAAATATTTGATTGCCTCTGGCTTTTTAATATTTCTGGTTGGCCAGCTATTGCTGACAATATGCATTAATTCTCAAAACAAACCGGTCAACTCTTTCTAGTGTTTAATCTATCCTACATAGAAAACAGCATATTGGGGAAATAAAGGAAAGAGAGAGAAGCTCAAATGTTTATGTGCCCATGTGTTTGCTGACTCACCCTCACTCTCTCCATCTGGGTCCTGAAAGGATAGAGCAGCTCAAATAGGATCAGACCCAGAGAGTAAATGTCCACTTTATGAGAGTATGAGTTTCCAGAGAGCTGCCAGGACAGAAAGGAAAGGATGGAATCAATATTAGATCATTATCTGGAAGGCAAGAGATCCATCTGCCTGATACATAAGAATTACAGATCAGTGTTTCAGTGCAGGTTTGAATGGAAATCAAAATTAATTCAACTGACTCCTGTAATGTCTATCCTGCATTATAACTGGTCCATGTGTTTCCTCACCTGCTCTGGGCTCATGTAGAGTTTGGTGCCAACCTGGCCCGTGTGACGAGTCAGGAGTGGTGCGGGCGTCAGGGCACTTGGCTCATCGTCGTCCTCCTCCTGGTCCATGGCCGTCACCAGGCCGAAGTCTCCCACCTTCACCACATCGTCCATGGTGAAGAAGATGTTGGAGGGCTAGAGGACAGATGATGACAGGTTGAATTTATCTTAAGACCTGGCACTCACTCTGTATTTCACATTTAGCTTTGAAGTTCTCACGTCCTGTGCACCTATAGATTTCTTAAAAGGGGAAATAAAAGAAACCAAAACTTATTTTGGGGCAACAACTGAATTTTTTCTGTTTTATCCAATATTGCAGCTTTATAATGCAGCTATGAAGTTAGCAGCTCAAAGCCAATGTTCCCTTGTATAAGCAGGTACATAAGTGGTATCGTAATTGTTTTTCTTGTGCTTTGCATTACAGTGGACAGTGTGTATGTTCACCTTTAAGTCCCTGTGCATGAGCCCCTTGCTATGCAGGAAATCGACAGCCTCTGCGATCTGGAGGAAGATATCCAGACACTGGTTATGCTCCCTGTGCTCTGGGAGGAAGCGCTGAGCCATCCAGTCCTTCAGGTTCTCCTTCCTACAGAGTTGCATCTGGATGTACAGGTACACCTGGAGATAGGGAGAAGACAGGTGGAAATCATAAGGTTTTCCATTTGACACTCAAAAGAAGAAAAACAGAAAGAAAGGTAGGTCTCAAGAATAAATATTTAATCATTCAAAACACTGCATAATTGTGGCTTTTTATTTCTTTCATATCAATTATAAGAGACAGGAAAAGTTGACAGAAAGCTGATATTAATAATAAATAATTATCCCAAAACAGACCCCAGCATTGTGAGGCCTTTAATAACAACTGTGAGTGAATGACTGACCTTGGGAGAAGGCTGGACTCGCTGGGTTGGAGGAGTTGTGGGGAGAGCTATGGCAAGTGAGGTTGGCCGGGGCGGAGAAGAAGAGGCCGGGACAGACTGCTGTTGTCTGGTGTGAGAGGAAGATGAGCTGTTCTTCTCAGTCACCGTGCCGGGACTGGTCGCACCAGAGTCTGTGTCTGCATCAGCATCTCCGTCACAGCCAGAGTCCTCGAACACGATGTCGAAGGAAGAGGAGGTGCAGTCACTGGGGCCGCGTGGGGGGCACAGCTCGAAGGAGTGGGGGGTGTCTGAGGCGTCAGGGTCAGCTTGGCTGTCCCTTTCAGACATCAGACTGTCATGACCCAGAAGTGGGTGGAAGGACAGGTCTCCATCATCAGCACCAAAGCCTCCAGCACTGCCGGCGCTGCTGGAAAGCTGGCCGCGTGCATCAACAGAGGACTCCAGAATGTCTCGCACTGGCCCACAGACAGGTGAGGAGGAGCTGGACACCGGCACTTTAACTGACAGCGCCTCCATGTGGTCGAGGAAGCTCACTGGCCAGTCAGTCGCACTGAGAGAGACAAAGGGCTTCAATTAAATAACCTTCAATATTACATGGGATTATTCAAGCTACTGGAGCAAATGTCCAGTACAATTATGGCAAAACAGTTTACAAAATACTTAAAATATTAAAAGTGAGCAACAAGCAAAAATAACAAGATGAGTCAATTCACAGTGCAGTCACGCTTACTGTGCATTTTGTCTTCTTTGGCACAAACACAAGCATATTACATTACTGACTTTGCACCAAGAGGCATTTTAAGCCTCACAGTCATGGTTATCTGGTGCTACCTTTAATGCTAATCTGCCCAAGCAAAACTAAAAAAAGTGAGTATACACACCAGACTTTCATACTTGCAGCAGTTTAATCTCTCATCTCAGGCATTTTAAACATCTGTCTTAATCAGTGAGTGAAGTGTGGTGTAATAACTGTCAGAGACGTCATTATTTTTTCCAAGTAGAGAGTCACATTTCTTTGCATGGACGCCATCACAGGGAAACAGACCCCTGGCAGACTTAGTGCTATGCTCAACCTGCTGAGATGTACATGATAACAGGTCTAAAAGCCCAGGCTCACCTGGCATCTTTCAGCCACCTCTTGTCCATCTCCTCCTGCCAGCCCTCAGGGGGGCTCTCCTGCCAGGCATTGAAGTAGCGGATGATCCCCGGGTGCTCCAGCTTGGCCAGGGCCTTCACCTCTCGCATGACCTTCTCACGGGCCAGCTCCCTGAATGATGGAAAAAAGTGAGCTTTTGAGTTTCATTCACCTTCACGGCAAGTTTGACAGTTAATTTTCAGCTGTTGGGGGTCCTAGATCCTTAAGGGCAATGCCCACTAGCAGCATGTGACACGTATCAAAATGCCAGCATCCGTTATTTTCAAAGCAAACCCACACACACGCAACAAACTGACGCACATCGCTGTAGCAGGATACACTCATGTCCTCCTGCCCAGTGTCAACACACATCTAAAGAGTGAACTAGTCAGCCATTTCAGTGGTCCCATGCTGAGCTTGTGCTGCTCCAAGTGTGTGCTTTATGGACATGATGTGACGTGATGCCTGTAATAAGACTTGTCTGTTAGATGTATAGTTTTGTGTTTCTAGTCATTTGATTAATTGCCGACTGAAAGCAACCTGTTATAACTGTTCGAAGACAAAACACATCATCTGTTCCATTACACTAGCTAATCATAATAATGTAAAATGAAACCGCTTTGATTCACCAAGAGCTTATTTATCACTTCAACAAAAATCCTGGACATAAAACCAATTAACAGACTGTGTTCGTATGCACTGTGTGACACTACTTAGCAGCAGGGCTGAAATGAAAATACATGCAAAGCTACTGTGCTAACACTAAATTCCCATGCATGACTAATATTTGCACCAAAGTGTCAGCTGATCCTCCGTGGGCTTCTGTGTTTAGATATGGAGGCTGCCGTTTACACAACTCATCTTAACAGCTTAACAGAGATGAAGGAATCGCTAATAGTCTCCAGCAAAGAAGCCGGTGACCAGTGAGAGGCGCTACCTGTTGGGCAGGCGGATTCTTTTGATGGCGTAGTTGCAGTCGTCCACTTTGTTGCGGGCTTCAAACACAACACCAAAGCCCCCGCGGCCAAGGCACTGCACTGGCTCAAAGTCAGTCAGATACCTGGGGAGAAGACACTTTGGTCATTATACAAGGAAGAATGACTGTTCACAGTGTTGGAAAGGAGCTGTGTGCGACCAGTGTGCCATCGCCTACATCCCTGTTTCTGTTTCAAAGACCAGGGATACAACAATCCACTGTGGTCAAGGAGGCTTCAGAAGTGGTAATCATATATGGTGATTACCAGAGAAGGAATTACCACCAGCTAAATCCCTGTCACGGCTGGCTGCTGAGGTGGCAGGTAACCAAGCTACGGCTAAACACTGTCATGAATTCACATTAATAATGTGGCTCAGTTTGTCGCTAAGACAAACTGTGCTTTGAAGTTACATGCTGAAAAAGAGCAACGAAATATTTAGGCAAATAAACAGAAGGAAAATAAATCAGTAAAGAATTTAATCTTGTGTAATCCAAGATTTCTCTGGTGAGACTGTGAGATTAACAGCCTGTTTTAAAGTTACGTAATGCAATATTCATCTGTTACATGAAATAATTTTTAGCCAATATAGCTCTATTATCAGATATATCAGACAGTTTTTTCACCTTGTGCAGTTTGACAAACCATCATTAGGGAGTTCTCTGTTCACTTATGCAGGAAAGAAATAAAATCATTCATCTTTCTGCTGAATCAGACAACACTAGCTCTTCTACACCCTGTTAAAACATCCTCGCTCAGGGTCCTCAGGGGACTGAAGGCTGTCTTATTAGGAAATGTGTGGGCACATGTGGTTCAGGCCTCGTTTCCTGATCTCTATCTCCCTCCTAATGATCCTGACTCATGCCTACTGCAGCTGCTGCAGCAGCCACCAGTTTTATTTAAAAAACATTCCTCTGCAACAGCAGTTTGCATAGAGTGCAGCAGCAGTTTTACAGGAAAGGGACAAGTTTAATCAGTTTAATCAGATTCATGCTTGTGTTTGTACAGGCAGAGCTCACAAATGTAACCATGCAAACTCCATTGGTCAGAACACAGGAGGTTAATTGTGGCCCAAATTATGGCTACTGATCATATTTGGGATGCCCAGCATAACAAAGAAATAACTTCTGTCAATGTGCTGACATGGATGTAAAGTGACCCCCTGACCCTGCGGCAGATGCTGCTGGCTTGGGTGGGGTGCGCACAGTCCAAGGTCATTTTCACTGGGTGGCAAACCGCTGAGTTATCCAATCATTCTCTACTATCTTCCATCTCTGCCTTGTCACATCAAGGCAGGCTGGCAGACCAGTGGTCACCATGGTAACAGTGCAGAAATCTCTAGCTACACCTTAAAAGCGTGAGACTCACATGTGACTTCCAAGTGTGAGGATAACAATCGCAAACACATTAAGTTCTCCTGAGTCATGGCAAAATCATTTACATGGAACAGGCTTCACAGTGTGTTAATGATCTACCTGGACACATATTCACTTGAACGGGTCTCCATGGCAACCGGCTCTTTGGTTTCCATAACCTCAAGGTCAAACTTGCTGTCTGTCTGGCACTGTGTTTCTGACTCCTTCCGTTGCTTTGAGGGACAGAAGGAACAAAACAAACACACAGTGAGGAAACAGTTTTTTCATTTTAAAAAAACAAGTTTACTTTCTGTGGTGTGTTGGGGATTTTTTTCTAAGCTACACCTGAACAAAGTCTCTCAGCCACAGGAAACAGAAACAGAGGGCGATAAACTTCTTCTCAGACAAGAGATTTCTTCTATTTATATTTAGCTTTAAAAATTTACAGAGTGCATCTCTCATTTGAACACAGTCAAATTAAAAAGACATGAACGTGACAATGAAGTTAGTTCAGTAACATATTTTTAGGAACTCTTTCCTTATGAGGACACGACCACCGGCAGTCAATACCAGGTCATGTCAGTGCTCTTACCCTCACACAGGCTACAGGGGCAGAAGGGTGGAAGAACTTGCGGACAATGTAGGTGGTGGCTGCGATGCAGAAGACGATGGTGCCAAGGATCTCCTTCCACCAGGGCAGCAGCAGCACGGGGTCCTTTCTCCTGCGACTATCAGGCCCCACCCCATTTCCCTTTATCAGGCTCACGGCACTCTCACGTTTCTCCCGGTAACGCTTGCTGTAGGGGAAGTAGTAACCGTTGTCTAGAGCGAGGAGAAGGGAAGATGAGTCAGTACGGTGCCTTCTCCTTCTATACAACCTAAGTGCCTGTAGAGCATATACTGTACTCTATATAAAACTGTATTCGTTGGTGTCTGACAGTCAAAGGCAGCAGGTTCTTACCATAGGGATACTGAAGGATGGACAGGGCTCCGTTGCTGTACTCATCGTGGGAAAACTTATCATTATTTAGACACTTGTCAAATTCATCTGAGCCGACCAGGGCAGGCGTCCGAGAAGGGGAATCTGTGTCGAGTACAAGATGAATACGTTCTCTGATTCCAGCAGAAAGAGGGCTTAACATCTAATACCAATCTCTGGATAGCCAGATATTAAAATGAAGAAAAGGACCACGGTGTAACACAAGGTGCAAACAACTGAATATTTGTTGGAACACAGTTTCACTCTATTTAAAGCTACAATGATGAGGCCAGTCTTGGGTCACTGTGCCTCGGCTTGACGTATCTTTACAAAGCTTAGACATACTGTAGCACTTAATGGTGCTGGCTTACGGATTAGAGGCTTCCATTTGACTGTAGGGAGTGGAATAATATCCTTCTCTGAGCCAATAGCTTTGGAGGGGAACTTTTCACTGATCCTCACTGAGGACTGGAGGTAGAGCTGACCCTGGAACATCCCTGATAAGCGAAGTAAAAAAACCAGGACATAAACCTTCTACAGTTGTGTGTGTGGAGTACTATTAAATCTAGTGCTGTGCTTTGGACCTATGCATATGTATGAACTTACCCAGGTACACACTCGACTCAGCAGCTCTTCTGGCCTTCTCCGGATCTTCCTCGTCATCATCCTCATCAGCTTTTGACTGGCTGCTGTAGGCAGTGTCATCGAACAGGCTGATTGGTGTGACTTTACCCCCGCCCACCAGCCAGGCTGAGGCGATGGGTGTGCAGAACTACACAACACAGGGAGGGTCATGAAGCACCGAGAGAACAAGCTCAGAGGAAACACCACGACATCACTGTTTCTAACATCTCACCTGACGCTCCCAGACCAGCTGTCCGTCAGGCTCCGTGCTGAAAGCCATGACCTTCCAATCAGGAACAGACACCTTGATAACAAGGTCCAGATTCTGGCTCTGGCTTTGCTGGTTCTCTGTCTGCTCTCTCTCCTCCGGATCATCGGTGATGACCCGTTGACTCCACGTGTCACCATTTACCACGTCCCCCTCCAGGAAGTTTATTCCAGACTGCAACTCCGGAACAAGTTTCAACTCAAAGTTCCCAACACTGAAATTCCACCTTGTAACAGAACAGACAACCATGACTGAAAAAGCTACTTAATCTCTCATTTTGCAACAGATTATCACAACTAAGGGTCGACCTAAAGATATACTCTCTGCATCTTAAAGCTGCTGAGTCCAAATGGAAATAAAACCATATTTATTTAACATGGGCCTGCATAATACAACTACAGATTTACCCTGCCTGCTCAGGATGCTGACAAACAGAATGAAGAGCTTATGAAACCTCTTCATCAGGGAGCAAGTCTCTATGCAACATATGAAAAAGTAGATCAAATCTATTTAATTAAAAACTGTCAGAGTGGTCAGTGTGGTACAGCCAGCAGGTTAAAAAGAGGCATTAACATTTAATACCTAGTGGCTGAAGAGATTAAAACCACTATTTAAAACCACTGACAGAAAGTCAGTCAGGTGACTGTGACCCTTTCTGAAACACCACACAGGGTCCAGTATCTGCTTCACTCAAGATGACTGCCTGGCCGACTGATAATGACGGGTGGATTGACTGATTGAATAACACTCACTTCTCCATCCCCGATCGGGGCATGATGGCTCGCACAGTCTTCTGGGTCCTCTGCAGCAGGAGCACGTCTTCGGTCTCTATCTCGTCATCCCCCCAGCGGCTGCAGCCCACCGCAGAGCAGATGTACCGAATCTGAGGCAAACAACAAAGATCATTATTCTGTTTGTTAGTGTAGTTTATGTCTTGTTAACTTCTTTCAAAAAACACTTGGTGTGGGTGATCAGATTTACTCTCCAGGGAAAACAGAAAATATAATTTCATTAATTAAATGTATGAACATACTGTCATATTTTAATTAAAACAGCTCCGCTGACCTTCCCACTGTATGCCCCCAGGCCATAAGTAGTCAGGGACTTGCCCCCGACCAGGACGGTGTTCTCTCCGATGCGGTAGGACGACTCCAGGAGGGACTCCACACTGAAAGGCACTGCTTCCATACTCTCTCTGTCCCGGTTCCACTGGAACAAGGCACCGTCCAGTGAAGGGATGACCATCTTATTGCCAAATACCTGCAGAAAACAGCCTGGTTGGTTCTTTTTCTAACTTCACTCAGTATGTCACTATGGGAAATGCACTGGCGTGACCACCTACGGACGGTCCAATGGCACCATGTCTGTGTGTGACAGACTGGTCGAACCGTACTAGAGACTGGTTGTGTCTTTCTTATTCCACTGCAGAGGTATGTTCATGTACTGCAACTGTAGGTGACTGTAGACACACTGTGGCGTGTAGTATACAGTATTAAGTCAAGACAAAGTGCACTTGTACAAGTTATGCTGTTTTGTTTTGCTTTTGAAATGATGAATTTTTAAACAATGCGTAAATGGAATTTTTTTTAAATTACAAACCGTCAAAGTGAACCTTATGAAACGTTCTGCTCACAGTAAATACGTAAGTGTGAAAGTACACAGAAGGTTTGTGGTTACCTCGCTAACTGATCACAACAACCACTGCTCTGTCAAGTGAAGTTGGAATTTCCAGCATATTACCTTCATGTTAGCTGATTTCAGTTAACTTCGTACTCTTTTAACTGATGTTGGATCACAGGTGGCTTTGTTTGGTCTGCTGCCTTTTCCATTTGTAGTGTATGTGCAGCCTAGAGGTGCAAACTAGCAGGGAAACTTTGTGTCAACAAGCCCCCGACACACAGACCCAGGACTGTTGTCACTGCTGCATAAATTACATCATATCATTACGATAACATTATAGTGTTATTAGTGTCACTAAGACAAATATCTGAACAACAGTCTTTCTGACAAAATGATGATTCTGAACTTGATGACTTCTGTCTGATGCATAGCTTTTAACATACGACCCCTCCCAGAATATCATGCTCAGTTTGTCTGAGATAAAAAGGACTTTTCAGCTCAGACAATGGTCCAAACACAAAAACACTTGCCCCCACACACACACACACACACACACACAGCAGCAGCTTTAGCCCCCACACTCTTGGACTCAATGCACAGGCTAGAGACCATTACACAACTAAGAGCCTAAGTAATTAACCTGGACCTTTATAAAAATATGCAACCATGTAGGGTGGCAGTAAGGATGACATCATCGCAAAAACCTGAGCCCAATCCTGATTTAACTTGCATAGGTTTAGCTCATCTGGGGTGGGGGGGTAAGGACCACTGTTGTCTTCAGCCACTTCAGTCATCGTTATACAAAGCCTGTCATCAAAAATCACTTTCTCTGGATGTCCAAGTTGTGACTCACCCTCTTCAACAACGTGTTCAGTGACATAACAGCAGTGCTGGACCAGCTAAGGAGTCCTTATCTAGTTGATGGACACTTCCCACCCATCAGGTGCTGCTGGGGTCAAACCTACGATCTGTCAGTCACTCCTGATTTGGAAATGGACTCTAAAAGGACAGAACAGTACCGTTGTGGTGGATTTTAAAAATGCCAGGACGGAGCAATGCCTAGCAGAATGATTTACTACAGAGCAGCAGCAGGAGCAAAGGTGATGTCATCTTTCGTTTGGGGGTGGGGGTGCAGTGTTTGAGGATAAATTTAGCAAATGAAAGGAGGAGGGGTTAACAATCTGACCACCACATCACACCATGGGGTGCAAAGAGGTTTATAGCAGAGACGAACTTCTCAGAGCTGTGGATGAGTCATCCTGCTCCTGATGCTTTAATCCAGGTCTCTGATCCGACCCAAGGTCCTAAGTCCACTCATCTTAGATCTCTTCAATCAGCTGCTCTTCTTGTCCATATTCAGACGTACAGTACATAGAGTTTGCACTATTTATGCAGCATTCATTCGTATATATTGCCATGAAATGTAGAACTTGTTCTATGACCATGCAAAAGCTTTCTAAGTTTATAATGTCATCATCTGATAATACTCTGATTTGATGCTACATGAAGGCTCAATAATTCAACAGCTTTTGCTGCAGTTTGAACAGGTGGCGAGTTACCAATTTCAGATTTACAGAAAACATGGACTCTTTAAGATGACAACTGTGAGTTTTCAAAAGAAAACAGGCCAAACTATTCAAACTCCCTCTCCTCACGTCAGCATCTTACCTTCATCATCACCGTCATAACGTCTTTAAGAACTGGCAGGAATCTGTGTTAAATAATTAACAAGTTCTCTGTTGTGACTAAGTAAAAACAACTATATTTCAGCAGAGTATAGTTTTGGTGAGTCCTCAGAGGTTGTCGTGGCAAGTTGGATGAATAATAGCTGTTAAATCACAAAGTGTTCTGTCGGTTATCAAGGAAAACTAAAAGAGATGGACATGAATTCTCGAATTATTTACAGTTAAAGGACTTTGTTACTAATACGATGCCTCTTTTTCAAAATAAAAGCCTCTTTTACCTTCTGTAATATTATTCAGTGAGATGTTCAGACTTGGATGAACAAAAAATGTAGATAATAAATCAACTAGACTGATTTATGTTTGCACTTGACTCCAGATCAGCTCTACATCGAATATGCAATAATTTTTAATCAACGTTATGTTCCTACTGCCTAAATCTGAATCTAATGCTAAGCTCTTTGTTTGAAGTGTGGTTTAGATGAGAGGAAACGACTACTATTCCTCTGGCAGTGTTACAAATGTTATGACTTATGGCAACAGACATGCAGAACATCATCTCGGCTACGTGTTGTTTCTTTCTCTGATGTGTCTGCTCAGTAAATTTACCTATTTAATTTTAGCAACATTTCTGCAAGTAAGAAATGTCTTTTATTAAAATGGAAAACTGTTGCTCTGACATTTGGAACGTGGTTATTTTGGAAAATTAAGTTATTTTTCGAAGTTATAGAAGCCTTTTCTTGATTATATGCAAGTCATGTCTTTGCTGATAGTTTTTCTTTTTGCAGGGTTACCGTGTTTTGTTTCTTGTAGACTTTCTTACATCTTGAATACAAGAAAGAACAACATTTTGAGCTTGAACAGATTAATAAAATATAAATTATACCATCTTTAAGACATAAAGAACATTCTAAATGATTAAACATGGACATTTTCCTTCTCCTTATGTCTGTTTTGACATGAATTTTACTGGCCTCTTCTTGTTTTAAGTGCCTTTTCATTCAAGTCTTATGGTCTTCTCTTTTCTGAATGTGTTGACGTAGCAATTCATCCATTTTGAGATATGATAATTATTTATTTGTTTTATTAACTGATAAGTATTCAGTGAGAGCGGTTACGGTGGCGTGTGTTTGTGTTGCTGCCGACGCTCCAGCTACCCTGACAAACAGCATCAGCTCCCACCCGCCACTAATGTGCCACTATTGGCCCACAAGGCTGCTGCTCCACTTAAGAGCAGCAGACAGTGTGAGAGAGGGTGAGAGACACCGAGTGACAGAGAGAGAGAAAGAGAGAGAGTGAAGCTGGTGGTCTGAACAAAACAAATGTGAAAAACAACCAAAACAAAATCAGGGCAGCCAGAAGAAGGATCGACTTTCTGCCAGAAATATCGCCGTCTGGTCTTTTTCATTTCCTTCGCCAATGTAGAAGAATTACTGCTTGTCACATTAGTCACAGTGGGGCGATCAATTGTTAAGTCATTGTATAGTAATCAATCAAATTCTCTCATTGCTCATTCATACATGCTGAATGCCAGCAGAGAGGTATGCGAGTGTGTGTCTGCTGGAGTGTGCACATGAGCGCTGTCTGTTGTGTGATGACATCACCTCTGGTGTGATGCATTACCTCACCTCGAAGAAGAAAGTGGTTGTGGCTGGGCCGCCCCCCCCCCCCCCCCCCCCCCCCCCCGGCAGCATGAGTCACTCCACACTGGCACCGACTTCCTCAATCTCACCCCCTACTTCAGACACACATGCACACCCTTCACCCTACCCTCCAAACACCCCGGAGCAGCTCCTGGCCTTTTGAAGCGATGGCTTCTTTTTCTGCAGACAATGCTGTTTGTGGCTCTGCTGTCACTCATTTCACAAACACACACACTCAGCAGGATGGAGCAGGTGACTGACAGGTTTCTCCCCAGCGTGTCGAGGCCAGCCAATTGCACAGTGGCAGAGCTCTGGGCCTCTAATCACTGAGCAGACTGGTGTCTCAAGAACCCAGCAAGCACCAATGAAACCACTGCAGAGCGCTCAGGAGGCGGTGAGTGGTGGTGATGATGATGATAACAAGAGCCAGTGACAGCCCACCGCCACCACCAACACAGCAGACAGGCATCCCAGGTTACTGAGAGCAGAGAGGGCAAGGCTGGATTTAAACTCACAAAGTGTACGAGCATCAACAACACACACAAACAGGCTCACAGTCTGGGAATCATAGCAAGTGACGTCACACCGAGTCAGTGGGTGCAGAGTTGACAGGCGTCTCTCGTCGTTCCGCTCTGTCAGTCAAATAAAGCTGACAGGTGAAAACACACAGATAGAGCGAATCAGACACACAGTCAGCATCTTCTGTCACAACACGAGCACACTGGAGAATGACAGGACGTTTCGTGTGTCTGTCTCACACACTGAACGGCTGTATAGGCAGCAAAACAATGTAGTGTTCCCTGAGCGACTAAGAAGCATTAAATAAACACAGACAGAATGTTTTTGACTTCTGACTGAGTCCAACTAACATTTCTGCTAGTGAATAATACTTACTTACTTACTACAGTAGTATTACAATGGCTGAAGTTCACTGTTAACTGAGCTGGAAAAACCTTTCCTGTCAAAGGCTATTAAACTTCACAAACTGGCTCTAAATTGCTTTTTTATTATGATAGCAGACTAACAGAGCAGAGATGTATTTCTAAGACAGAGACAGAGAGTTCATTACACTCGTACAGCCACACTAGCAGCAGCAGACTAACATGAAACTGATCTCAGGAGCCACCCAGACCCTTGTTAGTATTAGAGGCTTTTTCCCTGAGGCAAAGCTCACACACAGCGAGTCTACATCAAAGTAAAGCATGAACATGTCTCTAGCACGCATCTCAAAGAGCAGAGCTTTGGTCTCACTCTGGGCTACGTTTCACTTTCAGCATGTCAGTGTGGGCGGTTTAAGCCTCTGTACACATGTACAGACGTGGGTCTTGCTGTGCTTGTATTTGTAAACCACTACAGTCAACAAAGAGGCTAATCCTCCAGGCTAAACAACTAGTCTAAGATTTATGTGGGGGTGTACAGTATGTCTGGTGTGCATTGTGTATGCATGTTCATGAGATGCATGTAAGCAACAGCAATCCTTAGTTCAGTGTTCAAAGTGCACCGAGTTCAATTGTTGGCCTTACTGTCTACAGAGAGAGAGCCCGGAGGGACAGTGTTTGTTTTGAGGCAAAGACAGTGACGAGACTGCAGCCTCAGGGCAGAGACGCACCACGAACTAGTGGCGAAGAGGGCTGACTGTTGCATCGCCTCACATCGCCTTTGTCTTGGCCAAAATGTGGCACATGAACACACCGCAAACACTACAGACAACGGCCAACTAGCACATACATTCTGCTCCTGCGTGAGATGAGATATCTGTCCATACCAGCAGGTGGCACTAGTCTGTGTTTGTCATTTAAAATACAAACAGATATACAAACTGTAAACAAAGCAGCTCTCGCTCACCACACACAGTTTCTATCTACTTGTGTGTGATAAGGAGTTGTAAAAGGCACCGGCCTTCTCTGCTCTTGGTCTTTGGCTTGTAGAAGAACAAAGAAAGAAATTGCACTAAATGGGTGAAATCATGGCTAAACAGCGACAGACTCATCTGGCTTTCCCGAACCATTCACTTCTTGTGCACTGACTCACTAAGCTGAACAGCCAATCAGAGTGGTTTCTCTGACCACTGGGGTCAGCTGATGATTCAACGTGCTGAATCGGCTAAAAAGCCGCAGACAGGGTCCGATTAGTGCCAACGGTGCCGGACACACTGCAAAGACAAGGGCGACAGACGCTCACTGACAGCCTGACAGTGGCCGACCATCGGTTGGCGTGGCACGGGTCTTAACCTGCCACTGACATGTCAAGACTGAAAATGCACTTATTCATCTACTGGTTAATAACAACCAGCTGACCAGTGTCTGATTAGCCTGTTTAGGTGGCTGTGGTTGGCCTGCGAGTTTCTCTTCACAGTATGCCACTAGTTATTCATTAGAAGACACAGAAAGGGCACTAAATCTAGATTTCAGTTCCACTGATGTTCTTCCAGATTTGTGCCTGTTCAATAAATACAAATACACAAGAAAAACCAAAGGTACTGGTGTACCTCAGGTTTGCTGAGGCTGGAGGACACCAGGCACCCCGAGCCGACATCAAGGTCCCACTGCTTCCTGCCCTGGTTGTGAGGATCTAGAGCTGAGATCTGTCCATCCAGGGTACTGATGATCACAAGAGACCTGTGGACACAACACAAACAATAATCTGCGATTAAGAATTTGTAGACATTATCGCAGCTTTAAACACTAGCAAGGAGACACTCTTCAGATCTGCACACTGACAACACTGCTTTGTATTTGTAAAGGCAGCAATATTTCTCAGCAACATAAAAACACAACAAAACACCAGTGTTCTTTAAGGCTTTCATCCCAGCGGGGGCTTTAGTCGAGTGCCATCACAGACAAGACAAAGGGTGGGGAAGTGTGCTGGTGCAGATGTTGTCTTTCCCTCTTCTGGTCTGCCCTTGTTTAGCAGTCGGGGGCACCTTCAGCTGCAGCCACCAGCACAGAGATCGTCCTGTCACCTAGGCTAGGTGACATGTTAATTAAAGAAGGAAACACACCGGAGGACTGTTAAAACCTTTCCATAAAAATATGAAATATGACTGTGCAAGATCACGAATTTATGCTGTGGCGAACCACGTGAAAACATCAAATATGGCTGAAATGCTGGGTAAAGAGACGTGGGTCATAAACAGCTGCAGGCCAGTAATTAATAACATTTAATCGATCAGTCACAGAACATCACACTATTTTTTCCATTTGCTCCTAATTTCCAACCTCTTTAATAGCACAGTATAACATCTCCACAGAGCCTCAAAGCACCGGGGCGAGTCCTGCAGGTGAGCGTGATTTCAGTGCAGCACATACTAATGATTATGTGCTCTGTTCATAAGTGTGGACTTCAATGCTTTCCTTTTATTTTCAGGAAAGTCATAGGAGGCTGTGGCACGTCCAGGACGGGGAGAGCACCCTCATGGTGCTGTGAAACAGATGCTAACAGAGGCTGAGAGAGTACACGTGGCGATTTAACACTGTTACTTTTCTCAGGCTTAAAACTTATTACTTATTACTATATCATTTTTTCATAGAGCTTTGTGGGTTTAATAACTTGTTACAACACCGATGAGACCCCATCTTAAGCTTGTCCAATATAATGAAAGATTAGGCCGTTACTTACATTCCTCCAAAATGTATTTTCAAATTCTAAATTAAAGACAAAACATGTCTGAATGCTGCTCTTCCAGAACAAAGTGAACACACTTTCTACGTTTCATTAAGAGGCACTGTTGGCAGGGACCCAGTGAGCAGCTAAAATAAGATGCAGGGAGGGGAAGTGTTTTCTCCCAGATGATATATGGGTTAAGAATTTCTCACAGCAACAGTGCACTTTTTTTAATTCTGCAGCTCTGTCAAAATGTAAACTAAGGGTTTTTTTGGCTGTAAAGTGCATATTTTTCAAAACAGCTTTGCTCTTTTTTAGGTTGCCATGCTGCAAGATTTGTTAACAGCTCTTCTCTCTTTCATCTAGTAACTCCAGGCTAAAAACAGTCAAATTGACTTGAATGAAGTGAGATGCCTGGCCCCACCCTCCACCAAACTCCTGCTGCATTGCTTGTCAGTCATGTCCTGAGCGCTGGCAGGGGCCACCTCCTGACTATTGATTGTATCTGTTTGGAGGAAAAGTTGTCAACGGGGCTTTTATCTTTATTTAACCAGCGTGGCTCTGCTGAGCGCCCACTGCTTCACATCCACACAGCAGCTGGGACCCAAGCAGCTTCCCTCTGTTGCCCAACGCAGCACATGGGGTTTTAACTGCCTCCCTCGGGGGCAACTAGGCAGGCGTTGCTGAGGGAAGACAGTGTTACACTTGTTCATTTTCCCAGCCCAGACTGAGAAGATGAGCAAAGAAAACAGTCATCCGTCATCTTTATGTATGTGCAGTGTGACAGCTGTCAGGCGAGCAGAAGGTATTTAATATTAGTATGAGCTGCACTCTCCATCATTAGCAGGTGAACTGCTATTGACTAGCTCTAATCCATTATTGATTTCCCCTATTGAACACTCTGTAGTCATGAAGGGGAAGGAGCATGTTCAACAGGGTTTAAGCCTTAGGACAACTAGGAAACGACTTGTTTCAGAGGGTGTAAATCAATTTCAGGAATGCTTCTCGCATGTTTCACTGTAGTCGCCCACACATTCGCACAGAGTTACACTGGCTGCTCTGGACCAGTCAGTTGTTCAGCTCAGCTACAGCCAGAAGTTTGTACAAAAAATGCAAATAGGATCAATTAACAGTAATGAGCCATGTGTCTTTCAGCCCCATCGAAGCAGCATTATCTTTCCAAATCTGCTCTTAGCATTATCAACCTCCCCACTAGCACTGGAGGGTAGAGTACTAAGAAAAACATTGTTTTTCCTCTCAGCCGCCAATAAAAACAGAGCTCTAAAGCCCGCTCTCACCCTCTCGATTGGCTGCAAGACCCTGCCAAAAATATTAGGCTGATTGGCTGTTGCTAAGCAGTCGGTTCTCTGAGAAGGTGGAAGCTTCATGCTGTGAATCTAGAAGTGAGGAAGAAGTCAGCGAGAGGATCGAGTTCAACTTGAGATGGAAGAAGGTGAACGTGTAGCCATAGAGGAATTTCACTCTGACAGGGAGATCAAAGCTTGTGTGGACCCTCTGTACTGCAGATAAAGGATGAGGAGGAGGAGTAAAAGGGGAGGTGGGGTGGGGGAGCACTTAATTCTACAACTTAGTTATCATGATGGAAATGGAGAATACAAGCAGCGAGGACAGGAAGGGGGAGTAGCTGCAAAATGAAACTAAACTCAACAATAAAAACAACTCAATCAAAACAAACAGCCCTACTATATCATTTAGAACTCGAGGCAATTTATTTTCCATGTCTGAGCCCCGAGACGCCGCTATGGTGCCCGTCACCAAAGGGGATAACATGTAGCCTGTGGGGCTGCCGCCGCCGACTGTGACAGATGCAGCCGGCGGAGACGCTGAATAAGATGTTGGGATGTAGAATGAAGGTGGAGACAGAGGGAGAGTAGCGAGGCTGCCAGCAGACTGAGGGTTGCTAGCGTCCTCGTCTGTATTTTTGTCAGTGTCATAATAGTGCAGAGTGCTTCTTCAATCACAAAGCGTATGGTGGAGCAGGGAGCCAATTAGCCTGGCTCTCACCAGACTCTGCTCCTCAGAGACACTCAGCCTCAGTCTGCACACACCGGCAAATATCAGCTGATGGTAAACACACTCCATTGAAAGAAACAACCAGGATGTTTACACAGGCTGAGTCTCCAAGGTGCAGGAGCCGCAGAGCTGGACCAATCACAACAGCCTAACACTTCCCAGCAGCCAATGGAAGCACTGTTTTTCTCCTTGCTAAGCCAATTGGCAGGCAGCTCCACAGACTCTGAGCCAGTGGCAGGGCAGAACTGCCTGTAACCATGCAACAGTGAGCAGCCTGGATGCACGCTGGAGTGTGGAGTTCTGCTGCCGCGCAGCTGCCATGCAGCCACTGAGAGGCACAGCAAAAATATGAGAGCATAGGGAGCACGTGGGGATAAAGTTATGGCTGCAGCTCTGAGCTGGCCGCACCCAGCTCCGCCAGCTGCACCAGTAGGAGGGGCCAAAAAAGAGAGTCAAGTGCATACCTTTAAACCATGCACATTCTGACAGATAAGGCCACAGTTAATATACATGAACATGTATGCTCAAATGTGCCAGTGCCTAACATAAACATTTACAATGAGACTACATTAAATGTCTAACTTTAAGAAAGAAAACAAACTCCAGCTGTACAGTGTCACGCTGGTGACTGTGATGTAGCACAAAGCCTAAAGAGACATTAAAAACTATTATAAATGCCACAGCACTTACAGTTTAAGGTGGTGAAGGTTCATATAAGTGCCTCTAAACCTGTTAAATAAGCTGTTTCATGCCTGTGTCTCTGACTGATGAGGGCTTCAGTGACAGCCCTACAACGTGCTGTCCACTTTAAAATGGACCACATCCCCTCAGGGCCACTGCAGCAGAGCAAAGGGTGTGGTTAAAAAAAAAAAAAAAAACTTCTAGTACTAGTATGAAAACACACACCATATAAAAGTGCTGCCATCTCCCTCTCTCTTCCCCTGCACAAGTGGGCTCCTCTCTCCAACTCCTGTCATCTCACACGTGGTAAATCCAAACTCTATGGCGCCAGGCTCCTGCCAGCTGATTGGCTGAGCTGTAGCTGTGATCGGAGGATCTGATTCGTTGTTGCTAAGCAGTAAGGAACCATCCAGAGTGAAAACAAGACAGCATGGTCCTACTAACTCCCAGCTAACTCCTTGTTGTCAGCCTCCCCTCCCTCTCTCAGAGCATCCCACCGTTGTGCCTCGGCCCCACCCATGCTGCAGTGCTGCAGGATGGGTGCTGCCGACATACCAAAATAGCCACTGACCTATTAAATTCACATCTACTGATAACTATTGTTTAGCAAATCATATAACCGGTGACAACTTTGTCACTGCACACAGTTATGAAACTGCCTGCAAACAGGTGGTAATGAGTCAGGACCTCTTCTGTAACCCAGACCGAGCTCATCAAGAGGAGGTTGGGAAGTCAGGCTGTTACCATCATCGTCAATGTTTAAGGAACTACAACACTAACGTAATTACAAAACGCAACAAAATAAGAGTTTCATGAATGAGACCAAAGGAAATGTGGTCACACAAAGAGGTGAACAAAGTGGATAAAACAGGGTAAAAGAGACGATATAAGCTTATTTGAAGTGACACCAGTTTGGTAAGTGGAGTTCTACATGCAGACCTCTCCAGTGCACATCATTCACTGTATTTGGACTGAGCTTAAACAGCTGGGTTTTAAGTGCTCAATTACAAGTTCCCAGAGGGAGTTCAGTCAGCTTCATCTTGACCTGTTATTTTGGGGACAGTTTCTATTAATAAAATCCACAACATCTCCCTGGTTACAGAGAGCGCACTACTGAGACAAAGGTAAGAAGGGGGGGAAAAAAAAACCCACAAGGTAGCGCCACCCCCCACCCCTCCACCCCCCAAAAAACTCCGCCTCCTTTACCTAACTATAGCCAGACCCATGCGGCTAACTCAAACTGCGACCACTAGTGGGGTACAAAGGGCGGGGGTGGGGGTAGCAGCAGGTTCAAACTAAACTGCTGCCCTCTCTCCTCTCACCTTCAAGTGCTCCCTGAGGTGCTGGAGGGCCCAACAGAGCACACCCTGGCACAGGCATCAGACCAGGCAGTGCCCTCACATGCATGATTCACACACAAACATGCATGCAAACGGGATCAGACATACATGCGCACACTCACATATGCACTAAAACAAGATGTAAAGAAAGTCTCCAGAACGGCGTTTCTAACATGTAGATGGCATTGCTAAAGGGGAGGCGACAGCCAGCAGCCGGCGTGGCAGCAGCTGAAGGCCGGAACAAAGTGAACATCTAGAATATTTATAGTTCACAGGATACAGGAGCAGAGGAGGAGAACCTGAAGAAAAAGAAAGAAAAACTGACAGAAACCTAAAGATGTTGACTGCTGTCTGAGCGTAGACTGGTTTTCAAGCTGTCTGCATGAAATGTTTTCAAGGGTGTGTTTGACGTGCTCCACTCCAAGGGGCTTTAAAACACAAAGACATCCAGGCTGTGAGGTGAGGGCTATGGTATCGCCCGGTGTCCACAAAGCACCAAAAGTTACTGGGATCCTTCAACTGTTCATTGGTTTTAGTGTGGATTTGGTGTCATGAACAAATACATAATCCTTTTCTTTTAGTAAAGTTGTTTCTCTAGCCAGAATGATGAAGGGTGTGTTAGTGCTGCTGTTGTCACAGGGTGGCACTTTCGATCACCGGACCAGGTCAAACTTTGTGAGGTCACAGAGAGAAGCACTTTCAAAGGGTTGACCTAAATAATGCTGGACATACAGACGACTGCTTCATAGAAAGTACTCAAGCCCACTGTTTCACACTTGGTCATAACAGGGATGTCTCCAGGTTCACTGTCCTTACTTTAAAATCTCTACTATTGACACAATTATTGACCAACAACCTGCTTAAAATAAACAGATGTGTGGTTTCTGACATTTAGGAAGTCTTTTCTGTTTAAACTGATCCATTTCAAGAGAAACTAGGCTAAACTGTGTTTCAGTTCTTGTGCCATTTCTCAAGTTCAACAACAATTCTCTTGACAGATGGCTGGAAACAGAGCATGGAGTGGTGCATATACTCAAGGGGCGACATTAAAGCATGCATGTGCGAAGGTAAGGGAGCGCGCAGGGGAAGGAGCAAGTGTAAGATGAGATACAAAGAGAATAAATGCAAAAGAAAGCAGACATCAACAAAGACATATAGACAGAGACACAGACGGGGGATCATAGGTCTTACTGGGTTTTGACACTAAAAACAGAAAACTTTCCGCAAGATCATTATTTTCTTGTGTCAACACAGTCTGTCACATTCTTACTTGTTGTTTTACAGACAGGCTTTGTAATGAATAATTCACCTGTTTGTTCTGATCCAGGGTGTGTTAGATAGCTACTGTGTTCATCCTTTATCTTGTCGACGTCTACATATCAGTGCTACTGTCTGTTTTTGTGATGGTGTGTAAATTTACACCCACTGCTGCAGCATTTTGAAATCTGGCAGAAATAAAATTGGAGTTCAATCAGTGATATTATTTAGGTCATTTTACAAAACAGACATTAAACAAATAGAGCTGTGGATTTGAACAATGTTTCTAGAATATTTTAAAATAAAACCCGAGAGTAATGAATCATTTCTAATGTATTCTAGACATATTACCCTGAGGGTAAAGCCAGTAAGTGGCACCAGGCGGAATATGGATGTACAAGAGCGATCGTGAGGGGAAAACAAGAAAAAGTGGGAGATACCGATAGTGACAAAGTGAGAGAGAAAAGGAAAGCACAGCAGAAACCAACAGAAAGTGACAGATGCAGGCAGATCGACTGTATCGGACCAAACCGGGACAGGGAGCAGTGGCGGGGTGTTACCAGCAGCAGCAGCTGAGGTGCCTGTCAGGGGAGAAGCCTGCTTCTTCAGAGAAAACTGCTCATTCCTTTTGATTTCTTCTCGATAGTGTACTGCAGAGGACATGTGCTGTCCTTACACCAACGTTCTTTCACCACCACTTTATCCTGACAAGTTTCCCTGATGGTGCACTTGGTGTAAGCCAGTTGTTGTCTGTCTATACAGTGGTTTTATTCTTGTAAAACCAATATTTTTTTTGGCTTGCATAGTTTCTGCAAAAAAAACCCAAACAAATATGACAACAACTCACACCTCTTCCTCTCGACTGCACGGTGGGCTCAGTAACTCCCTGTTGTGACATAGCTGGGTTTGCAGACATCCTACATAACAAGAACTAATGATGCTTTGGGGGTTGTCTGAAGCTTTAATGTGAGCCTCAAGATTCAAGAAGTTGATGGCAAATGAGGAAAAATGCTTCAACAAAGAAACACACTGAAATGATACAAGAAGCTGCAGCACAGTCAAAAGTATATATAACGGTCAGAGAGAAGGAACATCAGGAAGAGCACACTGTGCTGAACATCTAAGGTGGACGTCAAACCTACTGTTCACCATTAAATCAATGCCCTACCCACTGCACCAAGAGCTGCATCTCACTTTGGGCAGCAGCAGCTGGATGACCAGGGCTCAGTAAACCTCTGGTAAACATCTGACTGACAGGATCTGGGGAATGTTTTCTGCAGAGCACACCTCTGCATCATAAAAATGTCACAACACGTAAACAGAGCTTGATTTAGATTCTATGTCCATGAACAGGGCACCCACCAGGTATTTCCTTCTGCTCATAATACCTTCTGTAAATGACCATTTCCCTCCCTGGTACAATAAGGTTTATCTCAGGGAAAACAATCCCACTGAACAACACTCATCATCACCTATGTGAAGTAAAACACTACAGCTTGTGGTTAAATCTTTATCCTTGTGCAGCAGGAGCCACTTTGTCACAGCTTTACATCACCACAATTCATCACTGCTTCTGCAAAATACTCAGGTAGCTGCTGTTAATTACATGGACAGACTTCTACTTTATTTCCACTTGACTTCAGTCATCTTACAGGCAGCATGTGTGCTGACAGGAGAAGATAAGCTGTGGATCATGAGGTTTATCTATGTCAGGAGGTTAGGATCCCTTGGTGTGCTGTGATTTTTGTATGATAACGACTGAATGGGTGGAGGGGGGACCCTGACATGAACTCCCCGAAACAAAGTAGACAGTGGTGCCCATCATACTCCTGTTCAGCAGAAGCAGCTTGTTTGTACGGGACAACTGAGCCATGTGCTGGTTTAGCTGCTCTCAGATGTGGGGACTTAACAGGACCGATGGCCGAACAACGCAAATGCTAGTGAGATAACTGGGTTAAAACGTGGTCGTATTTCTATTTCTAGTTAGTGCACATTCGGCATCAATACAACTCTCAGCAAATAACAAGAAAGACACACCTTAGCTTCACAGAAACTTTGAAAACAACCGTTATAGTCTGTTGTCACAGCGCAAGAAAACTTTGTGCTCGGGGGCGCGTCTTGCCCGGACATGAAAAGCCACGGGAACTGTACAGTCGATTTTCCTCAAAACATTTCACTGTTTTCAGTACACTACGACTAGCATGCTAAATAACCAAAAGTCAGAAATACAAAGCTCCAGCCAACCGCATGTATAACGTAGTTGTTTCCTCTACGTCTACTTTTCACTCAACAGCCTAACTTTAATTACAACTCTGCGCCCATTATCGGACAAGATCGTATGCTAGCTAGCTAAACATTCGGTGAAGGCGACGTTTTAGTTGGATAAATAAAATGATATGTAGTTTTTAATGTTGTCATTTTGGAGGTGTTTACTGACGTTAAAGCATGCCTAGCAGCCCCTTACACTTGCCTGGTCGTACGGACGTTGCCGCTACTTTCTCCATATGATTCATCAGTCTCCCCCGTCGATCCGTTCTCGTCATCCTCCACGGTAACGTCTGCTCCAGTGACCGAGGCGCCTACGTTCTCCAAGCCCCGCTCCATGACTCCTACATCATCTTCCACCGGGGTCGAACCTGCACCCCGGCGGGCTGACTGTGGCTCCTTCCCGATGGCGGAGCCCTGAGTTTGCCAAGTCCCGAATCCGATGAGCGTTTTCAGCAACAGCAGGAGCACCAGGGAAATGCTCACGTTTCCAAAGTGAGGCCCCCTTTCCATTTGTAAGACTGGCACATTAGTGAAATATGAGATTTACATGCCACTATGGCCTTGTAAATCTTAACATAAAAAAACGTAAAGTGTAAAAATAAAAATAATTGTTTAACTACAAAGAAAGCTCCGTCGTCTCTTGCAAAACGCCCTTTGATATCTTCCCTTTAAGTAAACATAAACAGCCACTGGGACACCATGATATTCCCTTTATACTTGACTCAGACTTGCCTTAGTAACGATAAGTCCCGCCCTTGTTTCTACACTAGGATTGGGTACTAAAATCCTTACGATCGTTAAAAATTAATATAGCAACTTCTCATTGTGCTGTCCGATGTCAATCATACATACTCGCATACTAAGCAGAATACGATTGGACAAGATATCTGTCACTCAAAAGGACGGGCTCAGAATGGTTCAGCCTTCTAAACAGTGGCCTTAATTGGTTAATCCGCTGTCTGTCAAAGTCGCGCAGGCGCACTGGCGGATGCAACACAACGAGGCAAAAAGGTGACGCAAAAAGGCCCCCCGATGGCTACTACCGTGGAGGATATGTGATTGGTGGGATGTGTCGTCGTCCATCCAATAGGAGAGACAGTTCCAATAATCAGTAACGCTATTGGTCGAGTTGTGCCCATGATCACAAAATGTAAGCACAAGATTTGTAATTTCCGCTGTCATTCATGAGTAGTTGTCAAGACAGTTGACAAGAAAGTATCAACGTGGCTGCAGCATATAGTTCCTGTTCCTGATCACGAGTTATCTCTTTTCACTTTCGGAAAACAAACAGGAAGGATGTTTGCATGATACCTGTGAACTTACATCCGTTAATTGTGTTTATTTTTTAAAAGGAAAGTTACGTCAGCCTACATGCTTGCGGAGAAACGTGCAGTTATATATAGTTGTTCTCATACTTGACAATTATTTTAAACGTATCACATAAATCATTTGTAGCAGCAGACATTTCCTCAAAGCGTTTTGAATAAATTATAAATTCAATTAATTTTTTTGTATATCGCCAAATCACAACGAAGGTCGTCTTGGGACACTTTACAAAGGTCTAGACCTTACTGTTATTAATATTATAGAGGGAATACCCAACAAATCCCCCATGAGCAAGCACTTGGCGCCAGTAGGGAGGAAAAACTGGTTATTTTATGTGATAGGCTATATAAAGGTAACTGCACCCACAGCTTACTGCCATCGGAGTGAACACCTTGCAGCAGAATGAAGCTGCTTGCATCTATACCGCCCCATAGCGGTCACAAAGAAGAATGGCACTCAAGCTCTGATTGGAAATCGACTTTGACCTAAAAACTTGCAACTACCAATTCTTTACTGATTCTGCTGTTTATTTTGTCGATTGGTGGATTCGTCTATGAATTGCAGTAAAGAGAAACATCACAAGTGACATTTATAATCACTTGTCAAGTCAGTCCAAAACCAGCTCCTTTACTATCACAGCCTAAGCAAACCAAATATTTACACCTGTGAAGTTCCACATTATGTTATTGACCAAATGACAGTCAGAAATAACAAAAAAAAGGAGCCACTGTGCAACTTTGGTCCTTTATTGGTTAACAGAATATAGTACCTTCACAGCAAAATCGTAATCACAGTCACACTGGTAAAGAAAGGAACAAAAACAAATGCTGGTGTAAAAATATCCATCATGGTGTACAACCTGTATGGGCCTAAACTGGTCCACATAGTCTCAGCTCAGTTAACCGTCTTCGTCTACAGACCACTGAGGCTGCTACATCCTAAAATTCTGCCTCCTTTGATTGATTTATAAGAGCAGAATTACACTGGATTACAATGGAATACTGAATAAGACAGGGGCTTGTAGACAAACATGCCAGTTAACTGTATTTACTTGATTGTATTAAATTTCCCAGCCTTGGTGTTTTCCTGAGCCTCTCAGAGCTGCACATACAAAATAAACCAGCGTATAAGACACTGTGAGCCAAAAGTTCAGTAAAAAATAGGATAAAACAGTTTTCACATAAATGAAAGATGACTTGGATATGTGACTCCTTGAGAAAAGGAATAAGAAGCCTCCAAATATTTCTGAGGGGAGGGGTACAGTGGTGTTCTGGGAAGTCATATCACCGAAACATGCTGCACCCACACTGTAAGGCTGTAGATGTCTCCACCTTCCAAGATGAAACATAGTTTAACAAAGAATAGTCAAATAATTTCATATAGGATTAAACAAACACATTATGAAACAAACTGACCAGCCATGAAATATCTTGGATGGTTCTTTGTAGGAGCCGAACACAAAACGTACATCGGTACATAAAGGATGTTCAACTGTTCTGGTGTGCCAGGACACATAAAATGAACTTGTCATGCCGTTGGGTTAGATTTGAGCATGTTCAGCATTAAATGGGAGCTTTTTAACAGCCCATCATAATTACCTTAAAACATTCTACATCTCGTTTCCCTTCTATATTTAAAATTAAGAATATGGCACAAGATTTTGTGAAATCAATTTATAGGCACAAAAATAGATGCAAAAAAAGTGGAAGAAGATACGGATCACACATTGAGCGGTTTGGATTGTGTTAAACAGTGAGAGTGTAGACTTTAACCCGCTGACTGACAACTGTAACTTTACAGGAACAGCTGTTGAAACCGAGAGGAAACCACCGGGGTTTCCCAAACTCTGGGCACATCCCAAATCTCCTATACAGTATGATCATTCCTCACACCTCTTGGCCAAGTGAGAATCCAGGACATCCCAAGACTCGTACACCTGCACTGAGGAGAGAGGAGGCTGTTGAAGGAGCCACGGGAGAGGAGACATGAGATGGATTTTCCTCTCTCTTTGCAGTTCTTCCTCACATCTTACATGGATGGGACTAAAGCGGAAAAATAAGACGCAAGCAGAGTCCGAAATTAACCCCGGCCAGGCGCTAAATGTGAGTAGATTTTCCATTTGGCAAGTAAATCTCAGAAGACCGACACTGGCAGGCAAATGTTTGCAGCAGACAGTCGTCTTCTTCAGTTGTGTTGTGGCTTTTACATTTTAATTCAAAACTGAATTTATTAACTGCTGATTCATAGACTACTGAGATAATTTAGCTTTTAACATTTCTATTCAACATAATACCTTCTCTCACTGAAACCCTGAAGCAGATGTGTATATGAAACAGAAAGACAATTTATTATTTTGGGTTGTAAAAAAAGTTTGACCAGCGGACTTTTTAACCTACCAACCACCTTAGCCGGCGAGTCAAAAAGGTCATTTCAGATCCTGGATGCAATTAAAGGAATTGAGATCCACCCTCTGTCTTCAGCTTGACACCAGAGGACAAGAGAAGAGCAAGAAAACCAGATCAGTGGACCAAGTGTAACTGGGCCTATCACGCTCCTGCAGCCATGAGAGCTTTTCCTGGATGCTTCACTGGCTGGCAGAACAAACTTGACTCTACAGCCTAAAGTTCCAGCCAGCTCTGCCAACTGTGACTTTAAGGAATTGCATATAATAGAATGGATGTTTCCAAATAAACATTTGAACAAAACTTTCACTTCAGCAAGGACAATTTCTAATATGGAAATGTGTGAACGTGTTGGTGAATGAGACGATGAAATGCATCAGGATATCCTCACAAAATGATTTAAAGTGAGCCACATCACGGCCGACAAGACCACAGAGCAGAAAAGCAGGAACACTACTGTCCACCTCCGTGCTCCATGGTATAGTGTTGACCACATAAAACAAGACCAAGACAAAACAAGATGCACTTCATTTTACTCATCAGGCACTTTTTAAAACTCAGAATGAGAAGCACTAACTGCAGGATGAGAAAAATCAGGGGACCCTGAATTTGTATCTGGTTTTGAGATGTGTGAAATCTTCTCTGCTAGTTTTGTCCAGCTCTGTCCAAACAAAGGCCAGGTATAAACCATCTACGTGGCACTTGCGGGAGAAGTGAGGTCATTTGATACGCGGGAGGACAGTGACGGCAGCGCACACTCAGTTGATTGGGGGGGTCGCGAACCTGCTTCCACCCACGTTCCTGAAGCAGGCGCGACCCTCCACGCTTCCATCCTCGTTCCCGAAGTAGGCCCTGTCAGCCATGTTGACAAAAAGCCCCGTCTCCACCACACCTGACAGGGAAACACAGAGACAAAGCATTTGGTTCAGTTCAGTCCACATTTCCCACAATCTCCCTCTGCGTTGCAGATTTTTGCCAGTTCAAGTGCTACTGCTTCTTACTTCAGGGGAGGCTGTTTGTGTGATGACAGCTTGGCAGCAGAATACACACCTTCACCTAACTCAGCTTCACAAACCGAGAGCTGTGTCAGGTCCTCACCTGGGATCATCTTGATTGCTGTGTTGACCTCCTCCCAGTTCAGAGTGTGCTCAAACTTCCAGTCCAGGATAAAGTTGCTGTTGTCAGTGACCACAGGGCCCTGAGAGCCAGACAGAGCCAATGAAAGCCTGAGTCACAATTAAAGTGTTGCAACAGAGGTCAGTTCAGGTTTTCCAACAGGAGTGATTACAGTGGGACTGTGCTGAGCTCAAGTGTCTGACTTGACTAATATACAAAGTTTTCATTCTCAGGACTTTACACTCTGACTCTGGATAAGAACAGACAAATCCATAAACAATCTTTAGCAGAACAATCTTTTCAATTGTTTTCCAGTTAAAAAAAAGCTACTTTTATGTGGACTGACCTCTAATGATTATGGGACTATCTGTGACTATGAAGCAAGTGCTGATTAAGCGACAGCACGTCTGTGATCATTGAGGTTTCCTGCATAAACAAACTGGCTCTTTGACACAAAGTTTTAGGCTCAGTCTAAAAACACACAAAGACAGAAGAGGAAGCTGACCCTCATCTCTCTCTGGAATGAGGTAATTCACTGCCTTTCTACACTACACACTGTTAATAAGGCAGACACAGTACATGTGTAGGTGGCCACACATGTCACAAGCCTTTGCTCAACACAGTACATGCGCCTTTGAGCTCTAACAGTTGTGTTGAAAGCATTTTCTTCCGTTCTTTTACTTGTTTGCGTCTTTCTTGCCTTAAAAATGTTTTGAGACAGATGCACTCTTCAATAATTCCAACAGGTTTAGCTGCTCTGATGTTTCTATCAAGTTTCAGTGTCACCATGAAAAGGTATGAACACCACCACCTGCTCATCCTAAACCTCGGGACCTCCACACAGAACCTGAGAAATCTAACCCCTCATTTCCAACGGATGTGGCTGCGTTGTGCTCCCTCCTCTGTTTGCCTTCATCCCTCACCGGGTCCATCTGCAGAACAGCTCGTTGTGGTGCTGATTTTTCATGTAGGATGTTTACAGTTAAGTCATTATGAAACCAACCATGGATTGAAGATTTGTGGCTGTGTTTCAGTCGTTAACAACACATTAATCCTTACAGGCTAATCATTTCGTAGCCTGCTTTGCACGTATCTTTTGGGGAAGGCGCTATCTGATTAGTGGGCCAAACTTTGTCAGGTGTGCCATCCATCAAAAACAGTCTAGATGAGTTATGTTTAGCGATGTGAACTGGAGAGCGGCATGTGGGATGGAGTGGAGACAACGCAACTGGACTCGGTGGAAACACAACCATCAAACAGACTGGCAGCGATCAGCTCCAGCGACTGTGACACGGACAGAAAGCAAAGCAGCCACATCCGATGGAAATTAAGGGCAACAGTCCTGTGTGAAAACAAAAATACACTAAGAAGCATCACAAAGCAAAGACGAATTGTGAAACTGCTGCTGCAACAGAAGGAATTAGAGTCAAGTCAACTCTGCACTCACAGCTTTGCTGACAGCCATCCGTAAGTTGACCTCTCCCCCGAAGCGTCTGGCTATCGCCCTGGAGATGGGAACATACGCCATGGGGATCACCTCAATGGGAACTCCCTTCTTCCACTGCTGGCCTAGAGCTTTGGAGTCCTTCCTATAGGAAGAGACTTGAGAATAGGAACCAAATCCAGATACACACAGATCTGCCTTTGTAAGACCCCTCAGATGGGTGCAGGTTAAGAGCCGTTATGACTTATAAGAGCTTATCTTTAGACAGGCCAACTGAAAAGAGCTTTTTTTGGTACGGAATTATACATGAAATGTGTTCATCCAACACGATCATACAACGGTGATCAAAAAATCTGATCCCTACAAATATCACAACAATATGAGAGGTGGAAGAAGTGCAGAGGAGGTGATGTGGTTTCTAGCTGTGTGAAAGTAACAACAGCCAACAAGTTACCCAAAGTCCAGAACATTTCCTGCAGCTCTGAGTGACTCTCAGCATCACACTTTTCATCTTTTCATTTGTCATTTAAGAACTTTCAATTAATGCCACCAACTGTTGGTCATGAAAAGCTAAACTACAAACAAAAAATTCAGGACTTGCTAATGCAGTCTAATACAAAGATGCAATTCAAGTCCCTCGCACTGATGAAGAACAACACAATGGCCTCTCAGCAATACAGGTACATTTTTAAAAAACTAACACGGCAAACCCACAAAGCATATACACGTTTTGTTTCTCTAGTGCTCGTCTTTCTCAGGGTAAACAAGTGAATACAAACCTGTAGTCGGCAATGACGACAAAGTGTTTGGCACAGCCAGCTACGATCTTCTCCTGAGTCAGGCAGCCGCTGTGAGACAGACAGACAGTGTGAGCCAGATGTCAGATGACACAGCTCAAGTTGTCAGTACAGATGTGTCCTCACCCTCCACCTTTGATCAAAGTCAGGTCTGCATCCACTTCATCCGCTCCGTCAATTGCCACATCCAGCTGGGGGGTGACGATGCAAAGACAACTACTTGTTACACAAGCAGACCGAACGCTTCTCTATGTTTAGAAATTACAACCATTCACTCTTCTGACTTTCTTCCAGTTGTACGTGCATAATTTTCACAGTGACAGGGTTTATATTGTAGCCCTCTCTCATTCCAACAGCTTTCAGATTCATTTGCAGTGAGCTCATCATACCTCTGGGTGTCTGTCCAGATCTGACAGCGTGAGGCCATGCTGCAGAATCAGCTGACGCGCCTGTGGGAGGAAAATGTCACGACCACACGAACAGAAAAGCTTAGAGACAGAAAGCTTGCTTTTATGTTTTTGTTTTTGAAGTGACAAATGTAGGAATCAATACACAGGTCACTCATTCTGAATGGGTCAGTTACATGTGTAGTGAAGTGCATTCAATGCCAGTGTTGCATTCTGTTGTCAGATGATTCATATAGAAAGCTCAACCACTGGGGTGAAAATAATTTGAAATGATGGGTGCCCAACATTTAAACTAACCTGGAAGGAGGTGGGCACACACACAATGTTGAGTTTCTCCTGACGCACTCTCTCCGCTGGAACAGGCAACACACAGAAGGATCCCAGTGCATTTATGTTAAAAGAAACAGTCCAATGTGGACAAGTTGCTGCCAGCTTTGAGTGCTGAGACATCAAATTACACCTTAAAATGGGTTGGCTCACCTAATCTGTCCACAGCATAGACGATGGTTGAGCCACTGCCGACTCCGACTACCTGGTTGTTCTACAAGACAAAGAGAAAAACTCCAGCTCATGCAGCAGAACAACTCACACCAGGTCCTGGAAGTGGAAACCTGTCACATCTGGAATGAAGCAGCAGCGACTGGACACAGGATAATGAACAGTGGAACAGGGAAACCCACAATCTGGGATTATTTTACCACAAACAATGAACAATATTTTGGTGTTTTTGTATTGAACTGTGTTGTGTCTTGGATCTAATACTTACTAATACATACTTAAGAAATGTAACATCATTTCAGGATGCGTCGTTTAAGAATATTAAAATGTAACATCATTTCAGGATGCGTCGTGCCTGGTGTATTCACTAATCTGTACAAGACAAACTGGTGCTTTATTATTCATTAGTGCGTCACAACAGTGACGTGACGCTCTGTCAGCTCCACTTTCTCATTTCACGCAGGTTTAATCGCGCACATCAAGTTAGCTTCTGTTTCTCCATCAGTTTAAACTAGCTAGAAGCTAACACACGCTGCTACGTGAGGTTATTGTGTTTAGCCCTTAATGCTAAACAAGGTTAGCCCACTATCCATGGACAAACATGCACAGCAGTGAGCCAAGTCCCCCCCCCCAAACTCTTCAGGTTAGATAACGGTATTAATTAAACTGGGATAACGACACGTTCCCTTCTGTGCATTAACTTACTGGCTAACTTAGCTTAGCTTACTGTATTTTAAGTGACTTTTAGTTAAAAACAAACGAGAACAGGCTGTGAAAACGTTAGCGTGTTGGCTACCAGCGACCCTGCGCAGTCCCCTGTACCTGGACGTGGTTATTCACAGCGGTGTATGCGGCCAGTTTCTTCGCCTCCTCTGCCATGTTGGCGGCCGTTTGGCTGAGCGGACACACGTGTTTCTGTCTACCGACGACAACCGCCAGCCTCCAAGGTGCTGAGGACAGAAATCTAGCTGCCAGGTTACTGACGGAGACCCACCCCTGGAGTCTCTTGACCCGGCCCACACACAGACAGGTTTCTCCTCCGTACCCGGAAGTGAGGAGCTTTCAAAGTTGATCTGTCCACTTTTACTCTCGTCTGACATCGGATCGCCTGTGACTTAAAGGTCTGCACAGCAGCGACATCCACGGGGACACACGGAAGAACTTGTAACATTAATCACTTTATTAAAATGTAATAATTAGCCAAGATTTCACCGAAACCTTATTACATAAATGCTATAGTGCTGGTCTGTTTTATATAAACATAATGTTGCTGTGCCGCATTGTAGCTGGTACCAACACATTGAGGTGTGACACTGAGTAACTACTGGTTATTTGTGGTGTTGGAATAGTGTTATTTTTACACAAAGAGATGATCTTGTTGTGGAGCATCTCCATAACAGATTTGTGTGCTCTACAGACACCATTTGATGAAGCATGCAGGCCAAGGGGGATATTGTCCTGATGGTGGCACTACAGGATGGTTAATCCTCCATTTAAGATTATTTATTAAACTTCTAGTTGTGGATTTTCAATATCTCACCAAGGCTTTATGCTGAAACACGTTGGTCTTTTAGCTTTGCATTAAAGTTGCTCAGAACACTGCAGGTGTTGCCAGACCTTTTGCTTTCCACTTTGGTTTTCCTGTGTTTGAAGTTACACCAGTATCTTCTGTTGTATTTTAATCTTCCCCCTAAGACCAAAAATACACACATCAAACATTTTGACAGCAGCTTAGATATTTGCTTTGGACTTTAGCAAAAAGTCTGATTTACAGCAACTGAGGATTTCTTTTGAGATATGAGAAGCAATACTTTTAATTTTTAGTGAACACAAGCAAGCATGTTTTTTTCATCACTACTACTTTTTTATTTGGCAAACAGCTTGAGATAATCTCTTTTCAGTGTACAGTATATATACTGTAGATTATATATATATATACTATAGTAAACACATTCTGTTTTATAACCATTTTCCTCATTTTTACATGTTACAGCTTACAAATATAGCCAATCTTTTTGACAAAATTACAGATTCTGTTTGACACCTAAATTAGTATGCTATATAAAAATCCGCACATTTTACATTCATGATTAGAAAAAGTCAGATTATGAAATCAGGAAAAGAAAAGAAACGCCACAGTACGCAATTTCAAACAAATCCGATTAGAAGGAGGGGAATCAGGGTTTCACAAACACAGCAGTGTGTCTTTCACTCTGAATCCAATGTTAAGTCCTCTGAGAGAAGTTTGTTGCTATTCCAAAATCATCAGTACAGAGAAGATATCAAGGAACAACAACAATATAGTCACACAAGAAGAAAATGTTTAAATCTCTGTACTCAGTCCAAAGTTAGAAACTAATACTTTGCCATGGATTATAATGGATAGTTGATAAAAACTAAGCTTTGCATTGCAAACTGTACATATTACTCTTTATACCTCACAATCTCTCGCTTCTCTCACCAGTGCACCAGTGCTGTCTTAAGGCTTAGTCCAGGGATTATGCAAATGTTCCCGAGCTTTCCTTTCATGCCTCGCTATCTCGGCATGAGACATCTGCTTAAATTGGACATCTTTCTCACATCTGTAAGACAAAGTTGAACAGAACTGCATGAGGGAGCTGCCATTTAGATATCGAGAAAGCAAATAACCGTAATGAAATCCGGCACCGTGAATGCCTCGTCAACAGGCAAACCTTTGTTTCTCCTTGATGTGTGCAATAACTGAATCAGCACAGAGCAGTTTTTAGGACCTTGAGGAGGAAGTGAAAAGTTGCTGTCTTAAAAATACAGCTGGCCTGTTGTTGCTTCTTCACTGGTGGGTCAGCCTTTGCTGGGAAACCTGAATCTCCTCAGTGAAGTGTGGTTTGAACACAGTATTGCTGAATATCGAGCTTTGCATTCATTTTACCGAGAAGTTAGTCTGGTTTACTACCCTTTCTTCTTGTGTAGGATACGTGTCCATTGGCACCATGTTGTATTGTATCAAAAACCCATGTGAGACATGCTATAAACAAACTAATGCTTAGAGATCATCTTTCCAGACGTCTGGATTTTTACATGACAACGTTTGCAAGCATTGATCTAATCATAACATCTAAATAGAAAACAAGACCAGATTATTCTAAAACTCATCTTTGAACACTTGTTCATAAAAAAAAAAAAGAAATCAACAAGGGCTGCACTTTGTTGAATCCAAAGCCCAGAAATATATATTTTCTCTTTAATATTATCTTTTACATAACTCTCCTCTTTACTGGTAATGCACCAGAACTGTGTTGGACTTGGGACTTTGAGTTGGGACCCTGATATGCAAACACTGCTACAAAGCCAGATGTGAGACAAGACGCTCAAAATACAAGTAACTGTGGAAAGTAAAGGAGCAAGCAGTGAATTACACTCTCCAGTCTGGGGTAAACACATAAATATCATTTTGTACTCAAAAAGATAAACTTTCAGGATGACAAAAAGATATTCTATTTCAATTCACAATAGATTTACTTGTATATTGCCATAATATATTCTAATAAATGTATAATTTGATAAAGATTTCACAATATTTTGGCTTGTGCTCTTGCTCTAAATAATTACATACAGTACCTGTGGAATGTATTTTTTTTTACTCCGTTGAAAATTCCACTTTAGTGAAGTTTTCTGGGAAGGTGGCAGGAAACTAGATGAACAGATTAGTGCTGTGTTCATGACGCACATGTACACTACATCCTTTTCTCTCCTCAGTGAGCACTTACTTTTGTTCGAATGCCTTAGAAACTAAACATGCTGTTCACAGACACAGTGGGGTCACAGTTAAAAGGTGCATGAATGTAAAAGTTTTAAGGCGGCACAAAGACCAAAATACAAACGGTTGATTTACTTTACAGCGGCCTAAATGCAGTGTTCCTTCCAGTTATGTTTTTAAGTACTTATAAACACTAAGTATGTAAAATGTACTCCTATGACAGTGTAACAACAATGTGGGTGCAAAGTGTTAACAAAAGAGTCACTTACACTGTGCCATTGCATCTTTCTCAGTACTACACAATGTGCACTGGCAGCATTTTTATTACTTGCACAGTATTAGTGAGTACTTTAAGCACTTACTGTACCCACAGGTTAGATTCATACACTGCAGGAAGGATACTGTGAAGTGTTATCACACAAAGTAAAGGAGTGAGAGGAGGATGTGGCGGTGTATGGCACTCAACGCTCTGACAGGATCACATGGAGGAGAAAGAGGGCGTTCTGGACCGTCCGGTTTTTGGGCGGAAGTTTCCCCGCTGAGATGCCGTCTGTCCACGTTTGGAAACTTTCTCACAGCTCTCATCACTCTTCCTCACACAACTTCCCACGTTTCCAGTGCTTCACCTGTAAGAATGTTCTCATCGGATACAAAACAGTCTGTAGTTCTCCTTTTTGCTTACGTACAGTTTTGCATTGAAAAATGTTTTTTTTTTTTATCCTCAGTACTTTTTTAAAACTCCAGACATCTTTTTTTTTGGATCCAGAGCCAGTCTCCATCTGTAGCTACATGTGTTGGGCATCCATTATGTCCAAATATTTGGCCTCAATGATATGAGGAAGCACGTTGTTCCTAAACACAGAGCAGACAGATTTTTAGCTTTGGTCATGAAATGCTGTAGGTCAAGACCACAGACTGTATATACGCTAGACAGCCTGCCAGCTGCTAGAAGTGAAGCCACCACAAATCGATCGCCCGCAGTGGCTGGTGGCAGTGTAGTCTATAAATCCTGCTTCCCTGTTAGTGGATGGCACATGAACCAAATTAAAACTCAAATCAGAGAAATGTTTCCCAGAGGTCACTTGCTTGGCTTTTGCTAGATATTATCACAATGATGTGTGAACAAGTGGTCATTTTGCTAGTAGGTTTGTTTTTAATAAGTTATTCTATGACATAAAAAGAAGTGTATTTCAGTTGATCTGACAGCTTTGATTGGCGGTCTGATGCTGCCCTCCATTTCTGGTCACTACTGCGCAGAATCTGGTTGCAACCAAGCAAGATGGCAGCCGCCATATTCAGGATATTTCAGCTTTGTTTCTGCATAGCAGAGGAAAGCAGTGACGCAACGTCCAGTGTATACACAGTCAGTGGTAAAGACAAATGTGCTTCATGGACAAAATCAAAACACACAGGAAAATACTGCTGAACTTTGACCAGTGCTATATGGATAAAGTCTACTAGCTTCCTTGAAATTTTAACCGTTTTCATTAAACCTTCATTATTTATTGAAGACATTCCTCTCCTGTAGGTTGGTGTGCCACAGAGTGTGGTGAATTAGTCTGTGAATGTACCAATATCATATATAATGCATTACACCCATCTGCTGTTTGTACTGCAGCCACCATCTTCACACACAGTTTAGTAAGACTGAGCAGATGAACTTCAGCACCAAACTTTTCTCCGCTGAGCTACCAGATGTTTACAGCTTGAACACATTAGCTCTCATCATGAAATTTACACGTGTAGCTAAGAAAACTAGAATTGTCTGTTTTTTCTTCTGAAAATAGTTTTTTTTTTTTTTTTTTAAATATGTGGGGTTTTGCCAACAGTGTCAATGCTGACTTTACTGTGGCTGAAACACGTTTTCATCCAGAGTCAGGTCAGATACAGCGCTTGTTACTTGTTCGCTGCTGAATTTCATCCTGGTTTAAAGCACTCCAGGAAATCATTTTCTGGGACAAAATGGCCAAAGTTGTACCTCATTGGGATTAGCAGGATCATGACCAGAGGAAAGATCATCTTCATATATGGTATCGGGTACATGCCAAACGTGCACAGCACCAGCAGCTGCATCATCTGCAGGAAGGTGAAGTAGTGGATCTTTCTCTGGGGCACTTTGCGGATGTAGTGGGTAGGTGGGTACGACGTCTGCAGACAGGAGGTGAGAGGATCAGAGCAGATTAAAACACAATCTCCCCCTGAGGTTCTCTTCCTCACAGGCCTCAGGCGTCTGCAGTCAGAGAGAAATGATGAAGGGAAGTGGGCAGAAATGCCCTCTGGCTTTTAGATCATAAATAACATTTAGCGCTCCCTGAATGCTTTCTGACAAAGTAAAATAAGTCTATTTATAGCATGAGGGGAGTCCTGTGTGGATGCGTAAGGTGGGGTACAGGAGAGAGACTTCTGATATTATTTTAAACCTGCACTCATTGAGATTATACTATCAAAATTTATTATTCCGGTCAAGGTGTGGTCAGATATGAACCTTTTCAACAGCAGGTTACCTTTTGAAAACTATTTCACAATCTTGGTTACGACCTGCAGACTTATCAGCAACCTCCAGAAACAAGCCTCATTAAATCATAACTCTCAGCTGTCTGCCGCCGAGGGTCGGAAACCCGTCATCAAAGAAAACAAACGTCACGTTTCATAGACAATGAAAAGTAAGAGAACAGCTTGTCAGAGTAGAGACTGTGCATGTGGAATATGGTGAGGGTGGAAACAAAATGACTCTTAGCCATAAATAAATATGGAAACATTCTGTATGAAATCTTTGACTGTTGCCTTCATGTTTGTGAAGTGAAATTAAAAGAAACAGCCATTCCATTAGAAGCATTTCAGTGTTCTTTACTCAACAAGATACTTGATCATACCGAGTCTGATAATGAGACAGATGTTTTAAAACATGAAAACACTCCAAAAACATTTTGTGTCTGGTGTGGTTTTTCCATCAAAACCCCCAACTGCTGTATCTCATTTGAAATCTTAAAATTACATCTACTTCTCCTCAGTGAAAAGTCCAGAATGGACCGCTTTCTTCCAACAGGCTGCGATGTCAGAGAAAAGCCCTGATGACAAGTACACGTGTTATGTTGAGATTTAAGGTGAGCACAGAGAAACCTTCCCACTTTAGCAGCTGAATGTGAAAACAGCTTCTTGCACATCAGCCATTCTGCTCAGTAAATCTCAAACATCTGAAATTCTTTTAACAGTTACCTCTCACTGCCACGTGAAGGCGCCAGAGTGTGACGTTACCAAGTGCATGTAAGAGGAAAATGGTTTACCTCTCTATGGAGACAGTAGGAAGGTTAAATCGGACACACAGGACAAGAAACACAACAGAGAGGATTCTAGTAGATTTGCTTTTAGCATTTGCAAATATTTTCCAAATACTTAATTTTATGTTTTTATCTGAATGACCAGTTAAAAGGGTTCAGCACATAATGAATGTGTCAGATAATAATATAGTTAATTTACTAGCTGATCTGTCTTAATTCACCCCACCCACCTGGTGTTCTGAGTAGATTAAAACAAACACACAAAATTATATTTGCAAATATTGTTTGACTTAGATCTGATCCTCCAACACCGGGCAGCCAGTCAACGTTTGATGTGCAGAACCCTGCAATCGACATATGGTCTCTCACACATTATTCACTCTTTCTCTTACACCACCCAAGGTTTCTCACCTGCTCCTTGAGGAGGAGTGCCATGCGGTCACACATCTGGTTTCCGTCGATGGAGGTGAGGGCGATGTAGAGGAAGAGGCCGTACAAGACGGGTTTGGGGATCCACTGCAACGGCACGGGCAGCAGTAGCACCGACACTCCGATGAAGATATTGGCAGCGAGAGACGTCAGCCGGGTCTCCTTCACCTGGACGATACTGAGGAGACACACACGGCAAACGATCACACACACAATAACATACACAAATAAGTTGTAATTGGAAAGCACACAATTCTTTTATGCAATACAGCGGACCACATTTTTTCCTGGGATTGTGCATTTGAAAAATTGTGAGCAAATTTTCAGTTATTCCCACTGTATGACTTGTTTCAGTAACTATAAAATGTGTTTTCAAAACATTTTCAGGGCCTGTGGATGAGCATTACTAAATATTCAGATGTATGCAACCTTGTTTTGAGATGAAGCGTTGATGTTGCACATGGTTGAAGCTGACCCAATGTGAACTCTTAATTTATTATCAGTTTATTCTATAACAATGCATCACTTTGACTGCATGTTGTCTATGAACAATCTTAGTCTGAAAAATAATTAGTTATCAGCTTATTGAATTAACAGCGGAGTAAAAAGAAAGTACAAATGATCTTAAAGGGGAATAAACTGACATTTTACTTAAAAACAGTATTTAAATACATTTCTTAGCATCCACCTGTGATTAAGAGGAAGAAGAGAGAGATTTCTGCATGAATACATTTTAGACATCCATTACCAGAACTTGTTTCCTGTTTAAACTTAACCAACATGCACGGACAGAAATCACTGTGGACTTCGATCTCACTTCCTTCATTTGCTGTGATATGAATGTATTCTGATTAGTGTTATGATCCCTTACAGCCAAATGGTTGCTCATTCTCTGTGTATGTACGTAGCTCTACATGGTTACACCATCTTTAATGCCCAGTTTAGCATTTAGCATCCTTTGACATCCAACCTGTTCACTACATGTGTGCGCGCTTGTGGCTGCATATGCTGGTCTGAGAAGTCATCTCAGTCGATGGTCTCATTTAAGCTGTTTCACCTCCCTGTTGCCTTTGTGTCCCTTTTTATTTGTCCATTGTTGTTGTTTTTTTTCTCTTCTGAAGTCTTTATTTCATGCCTTGCTTCATATTTTTATCGTGAAGCACTATGATGGTCATGAATGATGCAGTATACATACTCACAGATGCTGAAGTGCATAGATTCTGCAGTATCTCTAATTAGATCTCCTGTTCTTACAGAAGACTGTCCCTTATGCCCCATTTATCACAGTTGACAATTCAAGTAATCCTCTATATAACAACTATACCTTTGCACATTTCTCTGCAGCCAGAATGGTGAACTTAATTCTCTCATGTTTAAAGAAAAACTCCCTCACCTCTTCCACCCCAAGAGAAAATGGTTAGTCACACAGTAATCAAGTAATCAGAGAAGAGCAGGATACAGTAGCCCACGACACCAAATTACAGTCACTACATGCTCTGAAGACAACCTTTAATTGAGCATATGATTAGCGCCGGCAGTGAGAGGGTGGGTAACTCACGTCTCATAAAGGTGCCCCCGCTCTACGCGCTGCTCCACAAAAGCCAGCTGGCGAACATGGAGGGTGGAGTGGGGGAAGGCGGCGTGCATCCAGGGCAACCCCAGCACTGACATCAGTATGTTAATGAGTCCAGAGAGCATCAGGTCCCAGTGATACGCTGTGCCCTTCAGCAACCTGAGGAGCAACGCAACTGTTACAGAATGCAACGCATTTGACAACACTCTGCAGCACAGCTGAGTGAACCACAACAACTCAACCACACGGAGAAGACAGCTGAAAAAACAGGTCATTTGTATACAGACAGAGACGTGAAAAGCAAATCTGCATACATTATATTTAGAAGCTCACATGACAGTGGTCAAGCCACACACTCAGACGCAGAAAGGCCATCATTCTCCTAAGGTTAGCACTGCCCTTAAAAAATTCCTTCATATGTTTCACTGACTCTTCTCTTTCAACATAAAACAACCATGCACACATAGTACATTCTTACATTTTCATACAAAGAAAAGCATAAATCACCGTCACTGATACTGACATCATCAGCCAAGCCTGACATCACTGAAAAGGAAGACGGCAACCTTTACAATGCCACAGAATATTTTCCTGCTTGTTAGTGAAGGATCACTGCTGTGCATCCTCCCTGCTCCTGCAGCCGACTGTGCGAGAACAGTGTGTGTCTAGGTATGTGAAATGTGTGTCTCACCCTAAAACTGCACATAGGACGTGTGAGGTGAGGCAACTTGTCTGCAAAGAAGTATGGGCACACTCATCACTAGCCACATCTCCTTTGTATGTGCCCTTGAGCATTATATTTACACCACTGGATCCTGCAAAACACTGTATATAAGAAGCATTGATAAAAGTAGGTTTTATTGGTCAATATGTCTTTTTTAAATTTATTTCTTTTCAACCAGAATGTATGTAATTTAGCAAGAAGTCTTTTGGTTAAAAGATTATTAAGTCTGTATTTACTGGCACAAACTGGTTCAAACATTAAAAAAAAAAAAAACCTACTTCAGAACAAATAATAGAAACAAATAAAAAGGTCAAGAAAAAAAA